GGGAGCATGTAATTACGTACTTTGTTGCGTTAGACATTATTTGGGATGAACACAACCACAACACACGCGGTTGGGCGCCGCCAATATGAGAAACTGGGAAACGGATAACGGCAGCGTGATCCAATAGAGCTAGCGTGGCTGTACGCATACCTTCCATTTCCAAGGCCTTTCTTTCTTATTTTTAATCTGGATCAGCCTTATTAGCTTGCTGTTATATGTACACGTGTTATTATAAATTACTAATCGTGTGGCTGTGTAAGCTGCATCCTCATTAATCCCCACATTCATCACATCACTAGTATTTGACCTACATATATTCTCTGGAGTTTCCCTTATTTTGAAAAGCAGTAATATCATTTTTATTCCTCTCAAACCTTCTCTTAGATGTCGATTCCATCACTAAATTTAGACTTAATTAATATATGACTCCATTCTTATAGTTTGTTGAATTGGAAAAATCAAAAATCTCTAAAGACTGAATTGTTCAGAATCGATAATATACTATGATAACCGAGTTATTTTGAATAAGAGTTCAGAAAATAAATTAATAATTCAAAAATTATATTGTCTCCGTTGAAAAACATGTATGTAGTCGAAAAAAGTTGCTTCTTTTTCAAACTCATATCAAAAAGGGCCTACGCCAGCTAAATTCATGCGTGTTTGCAACGTGGAAGTGTTCAGCCCATTGATTTCATATGGTGGTATTAATTAAATTAGACTTTATCTTCATCAGTCTGTATTTATATACTTTTCCGGTCCTTAATATAGAATCTAATTGTTGAGTTGGTTTTTTGTCTAAATATAGGATCTATTTCTCATATTTATTAGTTTTTTCTAAATTACCCCTATAGATACTCTCTCAACCATAATCAAGTAAAAAAGAGAGAATGGCTATTAAGGAAGATTATTATAGTATTTTAAAAAAAACATGTTATATTTCTTATAATTAACTAACTTACTTAATTTTTTTAATCTGATCAAATTAGTTAAATAAGTTTTATATCAAAGACAGAAGGGGAAAGGAGGATTGATTCCCCAGGCCCCACACTCCTAACGAAAGTCAAAATGATCTCTGACTTTTCTCGATTTTGGTCAGCGACAAGCGTTAATAATATATAAAATAAGCTATTAATTGAAGCAATCATGCAATGGAAGTTAATCTACGGCTATAAGGAGGCACGACCTCGGTTACTTGTGGACACCCATCTTTTTTATTGTTTCCCGACAACGGATTTTACTCAACCTTAAACATACGAGAGTCTGCATGAAACAGTTAAGTAAAAACAGAAACAACCGAGAAAAGAAATAAGCACACATAACATTATAGTCCGCCTCACCAAATTAAAAGACAATAAAAAAGTGCAAATTAAACAAGAAAATAGTGAAAGCATCCACCAGAGTATGCATTTGAATGTACATTATATTAACCTAATACTGGGTTAATCTAATATCTGGTTCAGGTAATTTGCCTTGAGCAATCAGGCGTGCATCCTGTGTTTAGTCTTTTGTGAAGACGTTCAATTTTTTATTCTTAGGATTACAGAAAGATAAATTTGGAAATAAATTTTTCATGCCTGTCAATAATTTTTAAGTATTACTCCCTTCAATCTTTATTATAACTTGCATTCTAAAAGAAAAAAAATGATTCTCATTAATTATAAGACATTATTATCAAATTAATTGCATTCTTTGAAGATTATATCGTCATTAAAAATTTTATTAATCACGCCTTTTATATTGTTCTGAACGTAATTCATTAGATTGAATGTGGGTAAATTTATAATTAAATGCATCTTATAATAAAAATAGAAGAGAGTTGGTTGATAATAGGGTATTTCTTCCGTCGGAGTCAGAGATACCGACCAAATGTGAAAGTCAAATAAAAAGGCAGGAGAGGCCTTGATGATGCCCAGCTGTCTACCACTCGCGTGGTAGCCAAGTATCGTTTGGACTCACTCCGCCTCTTCTAGAATCGCTTCCCGCAGTTGCACTATTCCGCCATTCTCCTCTCATTTATGTGATATTTTTTGTTTATTTGCATTCTTAACCTTTCTGCCTGATTTCCTAATTACTTGTGTCAGATGTCATTCTCTTTCGATCCAAAATAAAAAAGACACTGTCCTAACTTCTGTGTTGTGATTTTGTGTTTTCTCTCATAATTAAACACCACAGCAATAACTGTTTATTCACTGGTAAAAGTCAATTTTAATTTTTAACCTATCCTCCATGTTTTAAATTTGTCCCGCAGCTTATCCTCCGTTAATTTTTAGATTAATCGATAATATAAATTAAAAATATAATTTGGAAAATCAACTGGCTAATGGGAGCCATGTACGTGTTGGCATTTCTAACTACTCCTTCCGTTTTTTATTATAAGAGACATTTGATGTTTATGGCATGTTTCTATATATAAGAGACACTTACAAGTTGTCTCTACTTTTTTGTGTTGATTTACTATTTTACCCATATTTATTATCTTTAACTCACACTCTCTCCCCCTCTCACTTCTCTTTCTTTTAATAATTTAATTGTTCTCTCTCATGCTCTCTCTCCTTATTAATGAGGGCATTTTTGAAAAAAAATTATACTTTTTACACATTAATTGTTCTTAACTAATTTTAACTTTTTTTTTATCAACATACTTCGGTTATTTGTCTCTTATAATAAGGAATGGAGAGAGTAGTTCTTTTCCATTGAATAAATCATTCCCTTTATTTTGTCTCAAGGAATTATTCCATGTATCTTTTTCTTTTTATTGCTTTTTTAAATTTTCCATACGTCTTCCCATAAAAATGTGAAAAATTCCCCCGGTGATGAAGGATTTTAAGGGCAGATTTTCCCAGGGCTAGACAAAGTAATAATGAGTCTCAGTGATAAGCAAATTGATGAAATGATGTGTATAAAAAAAAATCTAACACTATTATGTATCGTCTAGATCTAATTTGAATAACTTAAATTGAATTTTATTTTATTTGCTTTTATTCTTTGACAAAATTTAAAATGAAGATGATTTTTTAAATAAAATTTTATTTTTAAAATATTTTTATTTAAAAATTATCAGTTAAAAGTTTTATCTATAGATTTTTGAAATTATACTTGAGAAATACATATCTCATTACAATAATAAATGCTATTATATTTATTATGATGGCAAGTATTGACCCAGATTTTTTTTTTTGGTAAGAAGAAGGGCTTGAAGCCCAGAAAAGAATATTAAAACCTCCGTACGCAATCCTTATTCATCAGAGCCTTCAAACTCGGACCTGGCTTCTCTCCGCTGCCACGTCATCCGCTACCCTCCTCTCCCAAAACACTGTTGTTTTGGGTGCAAAATGAGGGGGCTGACTGCTTCTTCATTTTTTCTTTCTTTTTCTTAACTTGAAGTATTTTTTATTAGCATCTAATATTTTAAAATAATTTTTAGTACACTGACCACATTAAAATATTTTTTAGAAGCACCTTGCATTTTAAAGTAATTTATTTACATTCAACATTCTAAAATATGTTTTCAATGGCACTCGATATCCAAAAATAATTTCTGGTACACTCAATATCTTAAAATAATTTTTGATACACTTAGCATTTTAAAATATTTTTTTCAGTAACATATAATATCTTAGATATATTTCTTAGAGGCAACAAGCATCCTAAATCTGGGACACTATGTGCTACTTGAAAAACACTTTTAAGATAAAAGCTACTTTATATTGTCCATGTCACTGAAAAAATATTTTATAATGCTGGGTGTAACAAAAAATTATTTTAGGATATTGAATGCTCATGAAAAAATATTTTAGTATATTGAGTAAACTACTAAAATACTAAAAATTATTCTACTGAAAAAATATTTTAAGATTTTGAGCGTATAGAAAATTATTGTAGGATAGTACATACTTCTAAAAAAAAATTTTTAGGATGCCAAGTATTTTTTTTTACCATACAAGACACTCTTGAAAGAAATGTTATAACTTGCTAAGTGTACCAAAAGATTATTTTAAAATATTGAGTGTATCAAAAATTATTACAAAATACTGGGTGCTACTGAAAAAATATTTTAGGATGTTGAGTATAAATAAATTACTTTAAAATGCAAGGTGCTAGAAAAATATTTTAATGTTGTACTAAAAATTATTTTAAGATATAGATGTTACTAACAAAATACTTCAAATTAGGAAAAAAAAAAAAAAGTTATCAACCCCCTCATTTTGCATCTAAAACGGCAGTTTTCTGGGTAGGGCAGCGGATGGGACGTGGCGGCGGAGAGAAGCCGGGTCCCTAGGCACACATCAAAAAGACAAAAAGAGAAGATTGGGAGAGACCCATCTGGGCAAGCGCATCAGCGGTTTTGTTACAGTCTGTTGGGATGTGTTGCAATTTTATCATACTCAGCATATCCCGAATCCCGAGGAAGATTAAGCTGCCATTGGCAGTGTTTTCCAAAACAAAATTCAGCTTCTCAACTAAAATCTTTCCATATTGAGACCCTTGAAGAGTGCCCATTCCTCAGCTTCTTCAGCACCACCATTCCCAATCTCATAGCAAAATCCGGCAATCCAGTGACCTGAGTGGTCTCTAAAGAAAAGGAGAAGCAAAAAACAGAAACCTGCTGATGTCTTTGAAGACAGAGAGTCAGGCCAGGCCCATATATACAATGTCGTGCTCGCTAACTCACCGTGGAAGCCCAAGCCCATGGCTGAAAAAAAAGCCAAAGCCCAAGCTTCCCCATCTCCTCGCCATGGCGCCACAAATCAAGAACTTTCAGGATTTTACGCGCGTAGTCATTGTGGTAACGTGTCAACTTTCCATTGGGTATTTAACGTGTTTTGCCAGGAAGGGTCCACATAGCACTGCTCCTGTAATATTGACGTGGCTTATCTTCATTGGAGAGAACAATCTAGCCCAAGGGACCAACTGACACCAATATATCTCTGTTGCGCTCCAATTTAAACGCCAGCGGAGTTACTAAACAGAGCAAGCAACTGGGAGGAAGAAGGTGAAACGTACAGAAAAAATCAATACGATCATGGCGAAGAATAAAACACTGGCAATTCTGCTTCTATTTTCTTTAGGTAAGATTCTGCTCGTGAGTTTTTTCTTCCTGTCGAAATGCTACGCTTTAAAAGATACTGCAATGCACAGATGGAATTGACAGAGGAGCTCTTTTCGTTTTTGTTCCTTGGTGTTCGAGTTGGTTTAATGTTTATTTTTTTCAGCAGAATTTATGTTTGGATTGGCGGTAGCTGCTGAAGAGTCTCCAAAACTCGGAACTGTGATCGGTATCGATCTGGGTACTACTTACTCCTGCGTGGGTGTTTACAAGAATGGTCACGTAGAGATCATAGCGAATGATCAGGGGAACAGAATCACTCCTTCGTGGGTCGCATTCACTGACACAGAACGTTTGATCGGAGAGGCAGCGAAGAACCAAGCTCCTCTCAACGCTGAACGCACAATTTTCGATGTCAAGCGTCTTATTGGAAGGAAGTGAGTGATGTTGTCCCCTTTTAAAGTGTTACGATCAATAATACCTGGGTTCTGTTTATAGGATGACCAACTGAACTGGGTTTGATTTGCTTCTGATTGTTAGGTATAATGATCCAGAGGTCCAGAGGGATGTAAAGTTCTTACCTTATAAGGTCGTAAATAAGGATGGAAAACCCTATATACAAGTGAAAGTCAAAGGAGAAAACAAAGTGTTTAGCCCCGAGGAGATCAGTGCTATGGTTTTGACTAAAATGAAGGAAACCGCCGAAGCCTATTTGGGTAAGAAGATCAAAGACGCTGTTGTCACTGTACCAGGTACCATTCTTTCTTTCCTTTCACCCCCATATTTGATGTCACTTTTTTTTTTCCCTTTTATTATGTATGCGCAGCTGATCTGTGCATGCATATGTGGTCTAATTTGCTTCTTGTTCCTGGTGATTGTAGCGTATTTTAACGATGCGCAAAGGCAAGCCACTAAGGATGCTGGCACTATTGCCGGACTCAACGTGGCTCGTATAATCAATGAGCCCACGGCTGCAGCAATAGCCTACGGACTGGACAAGAAAGGAGGAGAGAAGAACATATTGGTTTATGATCTTGGTGGTGGTACCTTTGATGTCAGCATCTTGACCATCGATAATGGTGTGTTTGAGGTGCTTTCTACTAGCGGAGACACCCACTTGGGCGGAGAGGATTTCGACCACCGACTTATGGACTATTTCATTAAATTGATTAAAAAGAAGTACAACAAAGACATTAGCAGGGACAATAGGGCTTTGGGGAAGCTCAGGAGGGAATGTGAGAGAGCCAAGAGAGCTTTGAGTAGCCAGCACCAAGTGAGGGTTGAAGTTGAGTCACTCTTTGATGGAATTGACTTGTCCGAATCACTGACAAGAGCAAGATTTGAGGAGTTGAACATGGACTTGTTCAAGAAAACGATGGGGCCGGTGAAAAGAGCTCTGGAAGATGCAGGGCTGAAGAAGACTGATATCAACGAGATTGTGTTGGTCGGAGGAAGTACTCGAATTCCTAAGGTGCAACAGTTCTTGATGGACTTTTTTGATGGAAAAGAACTCAACAAAGGAATTAATCCTGACGAGGCTGTTGCTTACGGTGCTGCTATCCAAGGTGGAATACTCAGCGGCGAAGGCGGCGAAGAAACCAAGGGTAACATAACAAACCTATCTATTCCTTTCTTGCTTCTTAAATTACTCTCTGTTTAACTCTTTTTTGGTTATTTGGAGTTGGAACTTGAACTTGCTTTACTTTTGGCAGATATTCTTCTCCTCGATGTTACTCCTTTGAGTCTGGGGATTGAGACAGTTGGTGGTGTCATGACAAAATTGATACCAAGGAACACCGTTATTCCAACCAAAAAGTCTCAGGTCTTCACCACTTACCAAGATCAACAAACCACAGTGTCCATCAAAGTAAGATAATTAACATCCCTGTTTTAATAGCAAAAGTGACTGCCGCTTTATTTGTGTGCTAATCCTTGTGCGGCAAAATTTTAGGTTTATGAAGGTGAAAGAACCTTGACTAAGGATTGTCGCGAGCTCGGGAGGTTTGACCTGTCGGGAATCCCACCAGCACCTAGGTAACGTTGAGGAAATAACAAAGATACAGCCTTTCATATTGTAAAATTTCTCTTCTTGAGTGCTATAGAAGAAAGTAGGACAATGTTGTTTCTGATCATCATTAATGAATAATACTTGCAGGGGTGTGCCTCAAATTGAGGTTACTTTTGAGGTTGATGCGAATGGAATCCTGCATGTGAGAGCAGAGGACAAGGCGGCAAAGAAATCGGAATCAATCACGATTACGAATGATAAAGGGCGTCTGAGCCAAGAAGAGATTGAAAGGATGGTGAAGGAGGCCGAGGAATTGGCGGAAGAGGATAGAAAGGTTAGGGAACGGATCGATGCCAGGAATAAATTGGAGACATACATATATAACATGAGAAGCACAATCAACGACAAGGATAAGCTGACAGACAAGATCGATTCGGAGGATAAGGAAAAGATAGAGAACGTGCTGAAGGAGGCCCTTGAGTGGCTGGATGACAACCAAAACGCCGAGAAAGATGAGTTCGACGAGAAATTGAAGGAGGTTGAGGCAGTATGTAATCCAGTCATCAAGCAGGTTTATGAGAGGAGCGGTGGAAGCTCTTCTGCTTCTGCTGATGATGATGCGGAACCAAACGATGAACTGTAGAGTCAGGCGCTTTTTTCTTTTCTACTCTTACTCTTCGGAGGGCTGTTCTCCTCCCGTGTGGATAGGCGAGAGTTCTATTCTTGTGAATTCCGAGTGGGTCTCTTTCAGGAGATTTTATTATATGTTCTTTATTTAATTATGTTCTCCTTTTGACGATAGTGAATCATTGAAAATGTGACATTGCTATTAAAAAGTGATTGGCTTCGCATATGTTCTCGACTTCGCCCCTGGGAATGGGGTGAGTGCTTCCAAATTCCAATTTGTAAGTACATTAACCTAAATTCAGAGTGCAGCCACCCTGCCCTCTTTACACCGTACACCCTTCGCTAGTGTAAGATTGAGGGCTAACGATGGCCTGTCTTTTGGGCTGCTCATACATACTCTTTACTCTTAACAACTAAACTTTAACAGAGAGCCCAGATCAGGAGGGATGCGAGTTGGAAAATGAATTGAGGATGAAGCAATGTGGTGTCCCCAGATGAAAGCAAAGTATCGGTGCGGAGGCAGCGCATAACTGAAATGCCGGGGGATTCAAAACTTAGCAGGGTAGGATACAAAACATACGACCATGAAGTGTGGGAACATCATTTTCGCCGTCATAGGGTTTTCAACATCGTTTTTACTGTGCGTGCCAAATGTGAAGAGATGGCAGAAGAAGAAGATGGCGGCAGAAAAGCTAAGAATAATAAGCGAGGCGCTGGAGGCGGCAGAAGAGAGAGTAGCGAGATACCAAGAGAGACACGACCGGATACTGAGTGAGATGAGCGCTTATTATTTGACCAACACGGAGCTGTTGGAGGCACTGGGAGGAGCAAGGGCGAGCATGAATCAGGCACTGGAGTTCGCTGCGTGCTTGAGGAGAATGCAGTTACACATCATTTGCTCTTTCCCTCAAGCTCTCGACCTTCAACTTTCCCTAGCTCCCAACCAACCCACCTCCCCAGGGATCAGATAAATCTTGTTCTTCTCCCATTTCGCTCATTAATTAATGCCACCTCCCACTTCTATTAATTTCCTTCTCTTTGGATATCTCGTCATTCATATGCATATATATATATCTTCGTACATATTTCATTGTTCTGTTGTTTATTTTTTTTAATTAAGAAATTTTGTAGCTCCTCTCCTCATGATCCGAAATTGAAGATTAAAAAAATGTTAAAAAGATGATGGATCGCCGGAGTGTGGACTTTGTCAGCCCCACGATCATCCATCAAATTAATTTATTAAGGAAAAAAAACAAAAGAAAATGGCGATTTCGGGTCATTTATCGTCTCCGAACATTTCGCGCTTTCACGATCATGCGTGCATTTGCTGCTGGAGATCGAAACCATGGATCACTGATGAGGCTCACACGGATACCGTCGGATGCCATGGATCGAAGGAACAGTCAGCGTGTGGCAGTATTAATTAATACAAGCGGCGTCCTCATTTCAGGCATTACACTGAAACGAGGCGGTTATCGTTGATAGCGTCGGCAATGGATCCCGCAAACAAAGTTAAGGGCACGAGCGGAAGAATAGGAGGGAACAGGAAAAAGGCCGTAACCAAGTCTGTGAAAGCGGGCCTTCAGTTTCCGGTGGCTCGTGTAGCCAGGTTCATGAGGAAAGGTCGCTATTCTAAGCGTTTGGGCACTGGAGCACCGATCTACCTGGCGGCCGTCCTCGAATATCTCGCCGCCGAGGTATTTTGTTGATTTCCTTGCTCGGTCGCTCCCCAACGCCTTCAGGTTTCGCGATACACCTGAGGCTGAGCGTGTATTTGTCTGGTGTTCTGGATTTTGTTTTTGAAATGCTGGATTATATTGTTTTAGTGGTTCTGACTCTGGAACGGGATGGAGCGTAGGTGCTGGAACTGGCAGGGAATGCGGCGCGTGATAACAACAAGCAGAGGATCAACCCCAGACACGTGCTGCTTGCGGTGAGGAACGACGATGAGCTGGCAAAGCTTCTGCAGGGAGTGACCATAGCAAGCGGAGGAGTGCTGCCAAATATCAACCCGGTGTTGCTGCCGAAGAAGCCACCTCCTTCTTCTGCCGCTGACGACGATGTGAAGCCCGAACAACAGTAGACCCTTCCATCTGTATAACTGTATTTCACTTCCACTTTCTTTAATTTGGGGCGGTCATACATGCTACGCACTGCATTAATGTAGCCGCCAAACTTCCTCAATTTATTTTCGGCATATGGCGTGGGCCTTCCGCGTTTTTTCCACCTCGATTAGCATTGAACTCCCCCATGACTCCATTTCAAAATAATCATTACTTCATACAAAAGTTACTTTACCACCTTTTTCCCACCAATAAAAATTTGTCTGATTGCCAATAAGTATCACTTTACCAACTTGGCCAACGCTCCGCCCAGCAGCTATTTATTTTTGGTCAGTAAAATTGCTCTAATCCCAGTGAGCCCAAAAGCCCAACTCTCAGCCTCTGTTTATAGCCCCCCGGGAAGGAAAGTATATTTTAGAAATTTAAATGAGACATGAATTATTTTTATTTTGATAGGAGCATTATTTTACTCTTCTCGTCTGCGGAAAAAATGACATTTGAAGCTTCGGAGTTCGGTGCACTGTCTATTAGAAAATAATCCAATTTTAATAACATTTCAGTAAAATATCATAAATATGAATTGACCGTCCCGAAAAAAATTATGGTACCGTGATGCCAATAAATATAAAAGCTTTCCACTTCTGAGTTCTGGCGTATAAAAAAGGTCGGCTGAAAAACCAGAAGGCCCAGAAAATTTTCAAAACTGAATTGGCGGCGGTGATTTATTTAATTCATGGCAATCGATAGGACTGCGAAAGATATTGGCTACCGCGGCTTTACAAACGCTGTAACATAAGCAGGCAGAGGACGGTGCCGGCGGTTAACGGAAAAAGATCAAATCTATTTACAGCAAGAGCCACGCCCACGCATAGTGAATAAATATACATTCAAATCTAGAAAGTCTCTTCCGGCTTCATAAAATTGTAATATTCAAGTTGAGTCATCTCTCCTCCGGTCATGGGGTCAAACTTGCATCGATAGAAGCTGCATTCACATTCCAAAACACACGACATCAAAATTTAACTCACAAGAGACGGAAATGCCACAGACAAAGCACTAGTAAATACAATGTAAATAAAATTCTTATCACAAAAGTTGCTCATTTGAGACTGGGTTACTTTAGAATTCGCCACCCCCCCCCCCCAAAAAAAAAAAAAACAACCAAACAATCACAGACGGCTCCTCTTCCAATATATGCCGCTCAACGTCCAACACTATTAGTACTAATTCCATAGAGGTTTGAAGGGGGAAAAAAATCAATTTCAAATACAACTAAGCAGAATAACTAACTTTATTAAGAATTGTGAAACACGTGGAAGAAGTTGAAAAGAACAATACACAAAGCATAAAGATATGATCCACAAGATATACCTTCCATCCATGCCTAGTATCACAATCGTATTCTTTTGGTGGCCAAAGGCAACATTATATTGCAAGCCTTCATTCAAGCGAAACCGGGCCACTGACCACTCTGAGGTGAAATACTTAGGCAGGACACCTGTAAACCAACCAGATCTGAGATGACCATGAGCCATAACTTGCTATAGAGAAGGTTTTCAACTTCAAGTCTATAAGAGAGCACATAATGTCACAGAACCAAATGCCAGATGAAACTAAGATGAAGCCAGTGGACAAACCCACAAACCTTTAATAAATGAAAGGGATGAAACTGAGGAGGGGCTAGTGGGATTAGATTCAGATGTACTTTGTGATCCACGATGCCCCAGTAATCCTGAATCAACCTTTAGACCGAAGACATGAACAGTCCCCTTGTCACTTGAGACGGCTAGCCACTGAGCAGTGGGAGAGAATGCAAGATGGTGTATCTCTGCTCGATCAGCACCTCTTCGCACCTGAAAGTATCATCCGACTAATTTTACATCACATCAAACTTCCGAGAGTTTCATGAAATTAGCATTAGCCTCTCCTTGACAACCTTAATATAACATTTTGAGTCCTAAACAGTAGTAATTACAGCATGAACTTTAGTCTGTAGCAGGTAATGCATATCACACTTGAGAAACAGTTTGATCCTCTGAAGAATGTAAACAGGAAAGCTGATTTTGAGATGATGGGATGACATAGACAAATGCAGAGTAAAATTCCAGACAGATGACATTCAATTGTATTACGTAAACACACCAAGCCCATGAAGGGCGACTCTCCATAGAAAATTAAGAATCTCTGCAGGGCATTCCTGTGAACACTTGTTATCAATATGCAATATAAAATTTATCGCATGCTGCACTATTCTTACCTCATACTCCAAACAAGGCATGGGGTCCAGAGTCTAATTTCCTAATAAATAGTAAATCAATATAATCAACATGAAATCTGTGGCATATCACACTACTGACAAGTTATGAATAGTGTGACATACTTTTTAGACTCCATCCAATATATGGGGTCCACTTCTAGTTAGACATTAGAGCACATTAGTCAAGTTAGCATTTTGCAACTATCGAAGTGCTTGCATATGCTGGTTCAATGGGTCAAATAGAAAGGACTGAAGTTTAATGCAAATTATTGCCAATGGGTGCAGGTTAGTGTTAGGTTCAACTGTTAAATAAATTTAGCCAGTTATTTGGAGCTCTAGAAGACAAGACATACCAAATCAAAATATTTCTCTTTCGATTGATTGCGTTTACTTTTTAAAATTCCTATGACACAATTTTATGGGACTTGGAGACACTATAGATTGACATTCCCGAGGGCCAATAGTCTTCGTAGATGGAAAAAAATCACTAGCATATGGCTGAAATATTAGTTATTCAAGGAAAAAAGTATGAACAAGTTGTAACTACCTCTTGGAGCAATGAACCATCCATAGTATTGAAAATCCTAACCAGAGTGCCCTTGCTACTTGCGGTGGCAAGCAAGCGCCCGTCTTGCGTAAGCGCAAAACAAGCAATTCGGGAGTTGTGCGCCGTTATAAACTTGGTCCGCCTTGACGCGTAAAGTTCGACTCTTACCTGACCCTTCTGTAACCCGGGACAAACCAGAACCATTGGCCCTGAGACATGGGAGACTTCACAAAGCCCCTTTGGATTCGCAATTGTCTCAATTTGATGCAACACTCTAAGATCATCGAAATTGTACACTAATATCTTTTGCACCAGAACCACCACGATTCTGTCCCTTCTAAGACGAACCCCTTTCACCTCAGAACGAAATGATAGCTCGCCGATGCAGCGGGACTGATGGTCGTCCCAAATCATCACTTTGTTGATTGCGTATGCAGGGTCAAACCCACCACCAACGAAGGCAAGTATATTGCACCGAAATAACATCTCAACCAATCCAATCCCACCGGAAGGGCCAAAATCCCGCCGAAAGATCTCGCGAAATGGGTCACAATTGAATACACGGAAACCACAATTGGTGCCGGCGGCGAAGCAGCCGGAATCTTGATTGAATGAGAGATGAAGGAGGGTTGCCATTCCGGTTGCATCAGAATTCGGGGTCCGAATAGGAGAAGTAGGGTTTGAAATCGAATGAGTTTCTTGGGCTCGAGCGACGGCGGAGTAGGAATCTTCACTTTGGGAATGGGGGTGCGAGAGGGTTTGAGGAGGATGCGGCACTGACATGGGTGAGAATGACTGGCAAGAAAACGATGCCTTCAAGCTGAACAGGAAGCTGCGTAAGCGAGGTATGTGATCAAACAAAAGGAAGAAGACAACTTGGGGCGTGAGCAGGAGCAAGTAACTAACACAAACTTGATTGACACGACGACGTGAAGGAGAAGTCAGCCCAGAAATATATACCCACCCCTTTATCGGATAGAGGTCGGCTCTAAGCCCCCGAATCTACCTAAATCGGAGCGGTTTTGATTTGACATCGATTTAGTCCATTTTAACTCATTTAATTTTATAATTAGTTTATTTAATCCTGTAATTACTTTTAAAATTATTGAACAGTTAAATAAATTTCTATAAAGAATATATAAAAAATACTTGATTTTCATATACATGTTTTACTTTAAAAAATTAATAATAATTTATTATATACAAATACAAATTTCATATTATACAAAGAAATATTGGTATCTTTTTTTGAGAAGCAACAAAGCCCCCGCCTCATCAGATCATATTGGTATTGCATTTTTTTTCCCCCAGGAGGCCAGGACCTGCAAAGCCCACGCCATGATCATTGATTTTAACCCGACTAATCTCGCATTTCCCAGACATTGCACAAGAAAAATGTTTTCTTATCCAACCAAGCAAATAAATATTTTATTAAAATTCTGAAGTGCCAATTTTTTTTTAAAAAAAGACCATTGCTTTTACTGGAGACAGGATACTAAATAGAGATACTTCTTCGAATAGGTATTCGAATTTTAATTCACTACATTACGAGGAACTTACCTTCTCCAAACACATATCCTATTTAGCTGGTAGGCGTAGACGGATATCCAATGAGAAAAATTGCAAAAACAAAAAGAATATCTTTACTTTCATTCAATAATGGATTAACATTGAATACAATCATCGGCAAAAATGGTGGAAAAATAAGATGTGCACTAATACTGGACTAGCAGCAATATGAAGCTAGACGACTAAGTTACAGTACATGTATCACCGCGAATTGCCCCGATGGGGTTTCCTTTTGGCCAAAACGAAAGCTGAAACTTATTTCCGTCAGTAAAAAAAGAACTCAATTCCAAAAGGAGAAAAAAAATAGTATTGCGAAGACAAGTAACTCCACGAAACCGAACGTAGAATCGCTGTTCAGTTAGGGCGAGTGGTTAAAATTTGATCCATCATCTGCTTTCTGGCTTGGGGGGCTACCGGCAAGCCAACCCCATACACCACCTGAACTCTGCCTCTGTTTTGCACTTAAGGCGGCCTGCTCAGATGCCGCTTTCTGTCGCTGGAGGAGTTCAAGTTCCTTCTGTAATGTTCCAATAGTTTGAAGCTTCTGTCCTAATTCAGCAACCTCCACCTGCAAGCTCAAACTTTTAGATAAATTTCTAAAATTCATTTCATCTAGAGCTCAGCTGATGATAAAATGCTGATAACAAACTAATATTGAAAGCAAAATTATCTGCCTAGGTCTTCAATGGAAGGCGAGACCCCCGAGGCAGTGTATACGCCCAGGACCAATCATCAAGTTGAACATTACATTGTCCATGTAAAATAAGCACTCGAGACCCATTTTGCAAAGAACAGAAAATATTGAAATTCAAATTCTTGATCACACTGCACCCGAAGTCAAAACATTTTACACGTTAAGCATCGTAACACCAGATACATTCTTCTAGGTTGGACAAAATAACCAATACGCTCAATTTTCTCCACGTCACTGTAAACATTTTCACCTCCCAAAAGGGAGAAAGGATTCCATCAAAACCCTGGCCTACATATACATCGCGTCAATATTCAATTATTCCATCAATGTTAATATTAAAAGATGTTTCTCACAATAAAAAGATCATGCTGTATATAATAAGGGGTGAAAAGCCACACTCGAACAAGAAATGAAAAATGATTTTAAAAAACTGCTAAAGCAATATCTAGTTCTATACCTTTCTTGTTCTTAAAAAGTCATATGTCATGTCAAAACCTAGCTATAAAAGTCAAAGGAAAAGATACACAGAAGCATTTATGCATACCTCAAGCTTGAAACACCTTGACTGCTCAACAGCAAGCTGACTACGCACTGATTGGAGCTCCTACAATATCAGGGCAAAGTATGAGGACTTTTGATTGCGTTACAGAATAAACAACATAGTCCAAATCTCAACAAGTATACATAACTTTTGCTTGTAACAAGTACTAGTAATACATTATATGTAGTATCCCATCCACAAACCTTAGAAAAATCAGTATTCACGAAGTATATGACCTGTTTAGTTCTCAGTAATAAATCAAGCAAGCAAGCTGGAATAGCATGGTAAATTTCTTTAACTTTACCGGTATTACCTACGCAATCTGTTCAATATAATACATACACAAACCATGGTATTCTACTTCAACAGATTCCAACATGGAGAAGGACTTCAACTCTGCAAGTAATTTACCTTGTAAAGTTCAGAGTTACGAGCCTCAGATTCTGCTAATTCTTCCTTTAGCTGAATAGTTTGTATTTTCTCCTTGCTGAGCGATGATTCCAATTCTTCTTTCTCTGCCTTCAGGCTGGATATAAGATCCCCTTTGGAATTCTATGAGGCAGCCAAAATATGAAAAAGCTGTCATTGGCAGAATAAGTGATTGTTGTTTATAATTTAATTGGTCCGGATCTAACTAAAACACTAAAAAACAACTTGTGATCATCTGTCAACGAAAATACCCCTGAAGTATATGTTAATGCTTTTATTGTAGGTCAGAATATGTGCTAATATGCTTTAAGTATTTTTTTACGCCATATATGCAAGAGTAAACTTCTTAAAACTGGGCAGAAAAGATGAGCATGTATAGTAATAAAACATACTGTTGTCCTTGGATCAGCATTGTCCATGACAATTTCCCGAATTTTCCCATCATAACCAGCTTCAACTTCAGACTCCACATCACGGGTAGCATTGGTGGCATTGTGCACGGCAGCGACACTGTCTGGAACAGGGGTTTCAACTGTTTTTGATTGCAGGGTTGATTTATGGCTAGGTTTAAGTACAAAGACCTAAAGCGGGAAATCATATCAGAGGAAGGATGACAAAATTAAATAAATAAATTAAGAAAAAGAAACAACACAAGTAACAGAAGAGACCAAAAATATGAAGTAGTGTTTTACATCATTGTTGTAACGGCCGTTGTATCCACCAAAAGATACAAGTACATCTTCACCATTGTAGGAGCTTACAACCACACTCAAGCCCTGCAATAAGAATCAGAGAATTGAGCATGAAGGATCAGTACTTAAACAATTTCACAACACAAAAAGAGGTCCTTCCGAAACCGATGATACCTCACTAGCAACAGGAACACGCCCTTGGACAGAAGTTACAACTGACCATGTCAATGTAGACATATTCAGCACAACAGTCTCAGAGACTCCTGCAAAGATAACATGGAATATAACTTGTTATCAAGGATACATGCCACAAATGGCAATTAGAGTCATCACCACAAGTCATAAATTTAAAGCAATCGTGAATCGTGATAAGCACTATAGATATGTGATAACCACAGCAAGAGTTATGCTTCAAAGTGATCAGAAGCAAACAGATTAAGGCCTTTTATTTGTTAATCACATAGCTTTTGCAAGAAAAAAAGATGCACCAGGCCAGAACTGATAAGAAACCAAAGAAATGGAAGAGATGACCATGAAGAAGTCATCTCATTTAACTGCCCTCATTCCTAGCTCCAGTAACAATATGAGTAAACAATATGCCCTTATTCCTGATATAAGAAATAATCTAAAAACAATCTTAAATTTAACGGACAAAGCGGCCAAAAGATACCACTCTTATTGTCACCACCACCAACAATGAACCAGTTCTCCCCTACAGTCACACCAGCATGTCCAGAACGTGGTGTAGGTATATCACCTAGTTGTGCTGGCCGAGACCACTCCATCTACAGAAATAAAAGTTGATTAGAAGCAGTAGATTTTTTAGGCCGTAGCTAATAGAGGAGGCAATAGCCTTACAGCTTGCAAATCAAGAACATGTAAATCATTGTAGCAAGTTGCATGTGAACCCCCACCAAAGATAAGTAAGTATCGCTCCGCATGTACAGCAGCAGCATGATCAGACCGTGGTGAAGGAGGCACGCCACTGCCATTTGCAAGACTTTGTCAGCAGCAAGCACAAACATGATTTTTCAAAAAGAAAAGAAAAAATCTCAAAAAATCAAGAATCCAAAATCAAAACACAACAGGGGAGTAAACTGAAGAAATCAAACAGATAAGTATAAAACCAGATTTTGGAACAACGGAACAAGAAGGCCCAGAAAGGTGCTCCAATTTTGATTCAGTTTATCAAAGGCTTTTTTCAACTCAGAAATCCAAAACATCTCATGCATTACAAAGAAGTCACCAGCACGCCATGCCTGCCGTGGAGCAGAAAATAAAATAAGAAAAGCAGGGAGATAGAGAGGATTGCTTCAGAAAGTTTCTTACGCAGCATCAATTTCATCCCATGTCAGGGTTTCCAAGTCAAGAATATGCAGATCATTCAAGAGAGTTCTCTTAGCATCTTGTCCACCAAAAATCACTAAACTTGTCCCGACAAGGGTCACTGATTGACCTCCTCTTGATACCTACAAAATATTACTGTTATGCATTTGCGAACCATAAAATTAACGTCTCTCTCTTTACAAAAATAAGAATCACACGTCGCATACTAATTTAACATTTGAAAAGCTTCTATGGATTTTTTATACTTACTGGGGCTTTCCCATAAGTCTTCAGGGCTGACCATGTTGCCGTTTGCGGATCAAACACTTTCACTGTCATAAAGTAATAATAATGAACACTGGTTACAGTAATGTTAATAAACTGTAATAAAAATAGAAAACAATTCACAAACTAGGAAAAACTCCATACTCAGCAACACGTGTAGTTTTTTCAACCAGAAGCGTACAATAAAGGAAAAATTCAAAATTGAGATGACATGCCGACTAATGCAGCTCTCTATAGTTTTTATATGTAGAGATAAAAAAATTTGTTGAGAATTTTATCATTACCAACTCTACATATCTCTTTCTTTAAGATGCGTAAAGCAACACTGTCATGCTTTTTATTCTTATTGGCATGCTCTTCCAACATATTTTCTATTCTACATTTTAAAAATTTTTCCACAGAAAGAATTCCAAAAATGATAATGTCTAGACAATAATAGATGATAACATTTTTATTTGTACCTTGGATACTTTCAGAAGGATCTTTGGTATGTCCAGCAATTGATAGAAGTTTATTCTCCCATGGAATCTACCATAAAAAATATTCCAGAATTAGCACGAGCAAGAAATAAGTTGGAAGCAGTAGATAATATTATCTTTCGATTTTATGAAAACAAACTATTCTCAACACAAACCAATGAATGGCCAGCACAAGGAGTTAATTTCAGAGGGGGTGTCGACTCAGTAAGCTCAGCTCCAGCCTTGGCCTCAATCTTTGACCAAGTCCAACTTCTCAAATCTAAAACCTGCATCAGTATCCATGTGATTCAAAATGCCAAATAACTCAGCCAACAAGCCTCTGTGTGTGTGTTTGGGGGGGGGGGGTAAGACATATCAGAACAAAATGCCAAATAAATATCCAAAAACACTATGACAGATATATCAGAACAAAACCATAGAAAGAGAGGAATAGCATAAAATCAATGGTTCCCATCAACCTTTATAGATACAACATGACTTGGCCAAAATGTATAATCACATGCAACAGATATAGTGAACACATGCTTACATGAAGATCATTAAGGTAACGACCATTGTGGTTTCCGCCATATATGTAGAATTTGTCTTGAATGACTGCAGCGCCATGCTGAACATATAAACACATTTAGCTTAGAAAAATAAAGAATGAATTCATAAAGGCAAAAAATAGTGAAGAATAAATTTAATATATTTATATTTTGCACAGGTCAATACCTCATATCGGGGTTTCGGTCGTTGACCAGATACAGGAGGGGCAATCCATTGATCATAGACTCGTACTGAACCAAAGCCCTCGACAACAACATCTTTGTCCTCAGCTCCAACTTGACTTCCATTTTCAGTAGATATAGTCTTTGTTTCTGGATAAGACTTCCCATTCTCCATTATTGGCTCCGCTTTAGAATTATGCTGTAAGACGAAAATCATGGAATTGAAGAATACGCCCCACATAAAAGAGATTTCAATGTAAATAGTAGCACAGTAGAGAAAGTTGAATAACATGATGAACATGTTTTTGTGGCGCTTCTGTTATCTAACTGCAAGACAACTTGCCTCATAAAATGAAATCTAGTTCAAAACATCAAATTCTAAATTCATTCTCTGAAAATTGTACATGAATGGCAATTAACCAGGCAAGTATTTGAGTGGGTCAAAAATTGCACTCACACACATTGGGGTAAAGGCTGTTGAAACTCAATAAGACATGTTATGTACAGGACACAGATTTAGCTTTGCAAAATAATATGATTCTTTCTCATTTGATTATGAGCAAAGACCAAATTCGATCAGTACTTCCATTCTGAATAACATATGAATATAACAGGTAAAGCTATTGCAATCGAGGTATATAGATACACAAATATCTGACTAACACCTGCCAGACAAGACGCAACAGCATATATAACAATCAGAATACTCACATTCATTGGCACATCTATTACAGGCTCTACGAAAGAGTTAGATACCCTTGAATACCAGCCAGGATCTTCTTCCTAAATGAAAGAAAAAAACATTGAAGGAAAATAATCAGTTAACAGTCTGCATTACAGAAATGAAAAACATGGAGGGGAAATTGTATGTATTACCTCCAATATTTTCACAAAAAGACGCATAGCTTCTGCAGAAGACATGTTTCCAAGCTGGTTCCAACTGCATTAATAATACCTTTCAGAAGTATTCTCAATTTGACCCTAGCAATATAATAATGCATATTGCAGATATGATATTTGAGGAGAACTATAGTAGTATTTATGACAAACAACTAAAATAACATAAAATTATCTATGCATGGAATATCACGACCAGGGAAACAAATACAGGTCCACTGGAGGAATCAAAAAGTGTGAATAGAAATAGATCAGATAGTAAAAAGCAACACGAATGTTTAAAGTGTACAAACCTGGCCCATTTACTATGATCTACAATCTTCCATGAACTGGGCTCTGGGATGTTACAAGGTCCTACGCTAGCCTGCCATGAAAATTAAACTTAAATTACATTCAAACCCTCTTGAATGGATTGATAATGGCTCCCTTGCCGAAATTCCGCACTGATGGATATGTCCATAAAGGACCGGTAATTAGTAAATCAATCTTTTATAATATTCCTTCACAATTCAAATGACTTCTTGATCTTAGGGAACAAAATTGTGATTCGGGCATTCCATCTGAACCTAGGATTATCTAATTGTAAATGGTTTAATTCTAATAAGACAAATTGCTTAATTGCTCATGAGGTTGGTAAATCAGCAAGGATGTCTTGTCTACTATTGCGTAAATGACCATCAAAGATTCAAAGCCTTTTTATCGCCCATTTCATCCATAAAATGAATGAAGATATCAATAGAAAGATTATAAGACAAGCTTATTAAATTAATACAAAAATTCTCAATTTCCTATGCTCAAATACGTTGGGATTAGCATTAACCAGCCGAGAGAACGTTTGGGAAAGCTGGTCAGGTAATGCACGCAAAAACCCCGGGGGGGGGGGGACATGCGGTCACACAGAATTTCACTTAAAACCACATAAAGGAGGCAAGAGATCACGACGCCAAGCTAGAGAGGAGATCACAATATCACAAATCCGCATCCAATGGATCAGATCACCATAAGGAAGGCGCGAAGCAGAAATGCATAGAATGAAAACAAAAATATGAGAATGAATGGGAGATGAAGAAGATTGTGGCACCTGCTGATACAAGCTATAGAGAAGGAGGGCAGTGGAGTTGGAGAACTTGGAAGTGAGAGATTTGGTGGGAGATGTGGATCCGTCGAATCCAACGTAGGAGGCCGCTGCGTAGAAGCGCTCTGGGTATTGCAGACCAGAGCTTGCCCTCGCCATCGCCATCTCTCTCAGTACCTCTTCAGATCGATGATTAACGTTCTGAAACAGTCCAGGACATAGGAAGGGTGCAAACAATGCGTGTCCTAAAAGGATTTTCAGAAATAATGAGATTTTAGATTTGCATAAAAAGATAAAACCAAAAGGGAAGTCTGTTGACAAGCAGCGCGGTAATATTGTCTGACTTTGCACTCTTCTTCACAGCTATTTGCGAATATTTGGCATAGTTCCCTCAGCTTTTCTTAATTACACTGTCCCAAACCCCGAGTCTCCCATAAGTGCCTAGGGTTAAAAACTTAAGTTTTAAAGCGTATTCAAAATAGTAGGTTTTCAGTTGTGATTTATGAAATATAAAATAAGTGTATAAAAAAATTTTGTTTTAATTTACATGAAACATATTTGAAATTTTTTAGATTATGCCAAATAGGCCCTTAGAGGGTTGCTTAAGTTGGATTATTTTAATTTTTAACTTTGTTTATAAGATTATGAATCACCAATAGAGGTTAGGTGGAGCAGAAGGAGTTAATTTTTTATAACGTAATGATTAATGTTTGAATATTTGTCAGAAAATGTGCCTACATTTAGTGTTATAATGGCGATCTAAATAGAATTGTCTCAAATAGAAAGATTTTTATATTTAACAAAAAAAAAATCAAGAACCAATACCTTCTTCACAACATGACTCAATTTTTTCTTAGGCAAGGTGCTCACAGTGCTCAACAGTGCTTCAATATGACTGCATGCACAGTAAAAAAAATCACGAAAAAAGCAAGAGAAATCATCGGTAGCTATGGATTTCGGCCAATCTTTTGGGCTACGGACCCACGGGGTACATGTTTCTTTCTTTCCTTTTTTATTGTTTCAACGCTATGCACGTTTTTCAGCTCTGGCTCTTTTCAATTCCTTTTAGTTTTCAATGCCATTAGATTTTTTTGGGAAATAATACAGTGCGGTCGTTAATTCCTTATACTCGGAAGATTTTGAATAGCGTATATGCATATTATTTAATTTATTAAGATTTGCGGAAAAAAAAGTTTGAGGAGGAACTAATTAATAAAATTATTATATATTTTATACTCGTCCGCTCTGATTCTAAACAAGACCTATTTTTTTTAGTATAATTTAATTACAAAATGAGTTTTAATTTAGGATCGTATTAAACTAAATAATATATGCACTACGCACACAGTAAAATATATGCACTAAATTACCAGAAGAAAGATCTGCACCACAAGAAAGATCTGCATTAATATGGTGGGCTGAGTTGAAATTTGAATGTAGTCATTGCTCTTTTAGACCTTTACAGGGTCGGGACCCCGATGATCTCATCTCATGTTCATCCTTGGGATTAGTAGAGATTCACTTAGAAGCAAACGAATAGAAGATCGAACTGCATATTTGCCGCTGTCATCAGCACTCATAACAATACATTCAGGCAAAGACAAAGGCAGCTAATTCTGCCGTGAGAGCTAGCCGGAGGTGATCTTTAAAGAAACCCATCCATTGTCATTAGACGAGGGTGATCTGATCTTCATCAAGAGAGCAAGAGGAATGATTTTGATGTGCCTGCCACTCGCAAATATGAGAGCCGGAGGGCTTCAACTTCTGTTCTTTCCTGTCTATGGGTAAATTCTCCATTCTAAAGTTTAGAAAATAAAACGCAGTCATTGATGTTACAGAATACCCCATGACTTGTTATCACAGGAGTACTGAATTAAAATGTTGCTAAAATAACTCTAGTAGAAAAGCTATAAGTTCCTCACGGTGGTCAGAGCCACAGCAACTTAATCTTGACGGCTCCCTCTTATCGTTTTGAGGTCAATATGTTGCCCCTTCAGGAGAGACTTCTTCAGTCTTATGGGGGGAAAATGGTTAGTGTCTGCAAGAACCTGAAACTAGGCTGAACAGTGATATTAAAGCTTGGAAATATTATTACAGAGAGGTCAATGATGATGAGCCATCATATAAAGAGGGGTTTTTAGAGACAGCCAATGAGAAAATGAAAGATGAACATGGATTACTTAGACTGGTCAGTACAGGTACGTTTGTGATTTTTTTGCTAGGAATATCGCATAGGTATGTCTGCATCTTACTCTTAATTCCTCCCTTATAATTCTGTCTTGGTTTTGACCCTTTTATCTGGCTGCTGCATCATTCAGGCCCACCTCTGTGTGATGGGAAGTTGTTTATCTTGACAGAACATCTGGTAAGATAATATGTTTTGTCTTACGAACCATCACCAGGAAGTTGTATGCAGGTTGACACATCTCGCCGGAACAAAATAGTATCAATTGGCTGAATGTAATTAGGCACCATATCCATATGCTATGCCCAATGCAAGATCGAAGCCATCGGTGTTCATCTGGGTTCGTACCTGTGAAGCCAGCGAGTCGGGCAAATGGCATGTACAGTCAATTCTAGTTTAACAATATTCGTTTGTAGTGTTTTCTTTTTCGTTTTTGTGTCGCATGATTTTTGCGTTCATCTGCAAGATGATGAGAATTAGGAAAAATATATCCAGTAGCTCAACACAAATTTGTTTCTCGTGTTGCTGAGAATATTGGGCCGGCCCATAGCTTCAGTCTCCTTCGTGGACCTCCGGTGTCCAAATAGTATATATTAGCTCACAAGCTTTAAGCCCAGAAATGAGTCAAAAATGCTAACAAGTTTTAAAAGGCGCAAAGAGTTTTTTTTTTTTTTTTTGTTTAGGCAGAATGACAATTTATAGAAAAATTAACTTTATATTCCCATAAAAAAAAGTGATGAGAAAAGGAGGATGGTTACACCAATACTTAGTAACTAAGTAGCCCGGATTCATGTCATAATTGTCTGACTAGGACCATAGCATTCCAGGGCATTATAGGAAAAATAGCAAGAATGCCATACATGCCCTCCACAACGTAATTACTAGGAGATCCTGAAAGTCTACTCAGATTCCCGCCACGGTCTCGACGTCCACTGACTCGGAGACGCGCTGCAGAATTGGTCTGAGACCTGAGGAACAAAGGATAGTGTTTGGTAATACAAACAGAGTCTGCTCTGACCAAAGACTACCTCAAGTTTTGACTTTTGACAGCCCAACCAGTCGTCATCAAAGGCAAGGCAGGAGCTAAAGGGAAAAATAAATAAATAAATAAATAAAGAGCATGCATGACGTCAGCCCTTCATTCTCCTCTTATGAGTGACAAGAAAACCGGTAATTTCACCGAAAAGTCAGTCGTCGCCCGAGTTGCCCCTTGCTGGAGACCACCCTAATGGACTCGTAGTTATTTTCTCTGCGACGAACATTATTCGGAACGAAAAAGTAAAACTGAAGGCATGAAGCTGGCTTGCCCAATGACATGTGTCGTGTATCGTGCTGGGGGCAAACTGGAAAAAGTTGTACGATATCCTCTTCTTGTCCCTACGTTGCGACCTCATTGGGTGGTCAGTAGAGCCTTTTAGGCGTGGGGACGTTAATTGTGAGTCGTGTTACATGCCATGTAGTGGGGGAAATCATATACATATAGGAGAGGTTATATATATATGCATATATATATATATGCATGTGGATGATCTTGATGGGCTCAGCTTTTAGACACTGCATGTGTATATGGTGCACATAACATCCAAAAAGAGAAGCATTATTGAAACGTTATGAAATCAAATATATATTCTATATATATAGCGTCCGCATTGAACAAGTACTACTTGACCATCAATTCAGCACAAATATCGAACACTAATTTATGGCAGATTCTACCCTAGGGCATCTCATGGCAAAATGAACCAATATGATCGATCGACCTGCTCTTTCGCAAGCCACTCTAGATATTTGTTCCATGATTTATACACTATGACTATGGGTGAGAAGAAACATTTTCTTAGGAAAAAAAAGGATGAAATTAAGAAAAATTAAATAAGCAATCAAACTGAGAGCTGACAGATGTCACGCCCCAGAAAGGAGTTATTGTTGAGCATTAATTAACCCTAATGGCCTTCTTCAGTTGATGCTGCTTGTTGCTGAGAATGACTCAAATCCGGCATTCTTCATGGACCAACTTCTCCAGATCTCATCTCCTGTAATTGCACCCTTCTCTCGCTGTTGGTGTTGGTTTCCGTAGAAACTTGCATGTGAACCTCCTCCTCCTCCTATTCCCATGAAGTCCAGAGTCAGCACATCCCCACTTCCCTTAGTTGCATCCATGTTAATAGCCCCACCACTTGCCCCACCATGCAAAACTCCATTATTGCTCCGGTTATTTTCCTCTATGATCTTCGAGAAAGCTTTGCTTTGGTCCAAGATAGCGTTAAACATATCCACACCGTTCATTCCCAGGCTCCCGTTCGCATTTAAATACTGACCGGAGATATGATCCTCTTGCCCATTCTGCATATAGTGGTTCATGAAGGAAAGCCCGTTGGGACCATATGACGGAGGCGCCATGCTCGTCACGAAGCCCTTTTCCGCCATGGACGACGAGCTGCTCACAGTTGCACCCATTTGGGCGGCTTTCTGCAGCAGCGCCGTCGCAGACATGAGATGCGAGGGAGCAGCTGCTGCCGGTAGCGGTAGTTGGTGGTGCCCATTTTCTTCAAAGACGACGTTGGGTGAATTTGAATTGAGTTGAAGAGGAGGTGTCGAGGAACTAGAAGAGAGGCTTCTCGTGAATAGGTTTCCTGCATTCATATTATGGTTTAATGGTTTATTTGCAGGCATTGGCATGAGCTCCTGAAACAGTGACGACATTGGATGCTTATTGTTATTGTTGTTGTCCATAATCTTCCCGGCTTGTGGGTTCGGGATGTTATTGGTATTATTGACTGGTAATGAAGAAACCAGGTTCTGAATTTGATGCCCCGCCGGCCGAAAGCTCGGGCTCATTCCTTGCATTGCTTGTCTTTCGCTGGCTTTGTTATTCTCCTCAGCTAGTGCGTCACAGAAAGCTCTATGGGTGATGAAACTATCTCTCCTGCACATAAATGAAGTTTGCCGTCAGATAATTATGAGATGGAAATAAAATAAAAAAACCGAAAAGGCGTACATCTAGGTACAATATAATAGTCCCATATTAAGTCTAATAATCGCGGTAGATTATAGCTAGATTGAATCTACTAGCTATATATATTAATTAGCATAGTTTATATGGAAAAATTAACTAGAAAAGGACTAGAGCGCGAATGGTCAATGCCTCAGTGGAAGAATCTAGCAAGCAAGTGAATGAATTGTCTCAAAATATGAACCTCGAAAAGATAGTGCCGCAGTCACATTTGTATTCCTTGGTTCCACAGATCTTAGAGTGGGCTTTCCAGTCAGATTGAACGGCGTATTTCTTTGAGCATTTGTCACACTTCCACTTCTTCTCTCCATGCTTTCTGCAGAAGTGCTTCTTAATGCCAGTGAGGTCACCAAGTGCTCGGGCTGGGTTGTGGTGTACACACGATGTTTCAGGACAAACGTAGACCCTCTTTCGAACTTCCGTGGTGGTTCTTTGCTTGAGCTTCCATGGCAGGTTATGGCCTCGCCGGTGCAATTGCAGGTTTTGATCCCTCTGAAACCCTTTGTTGCAAATCTCACAGATGAATCGGTTTGTGGCCATTAGGGTGGTTGGCGATAGAGCTATCACCTCAGCGCTCGGATCTGCCATTATCGTATACATACAAAAATGACAGATTCATTAGTTAAATTGATGCAATATTTATATGTATATATTGGCATTGCACGGCACCGAAGGCAACAATTTTTCAAAGGGTTTGAACGAAATATCATAATAGGCTAACTGACAAGAAAAAACCATCACGTTACGTTACAAATGTGAGTGTCGTCATTTTAAAACCGAAAATGACCGAATTTTGAAAAAGTGAGATGAGAAACAAGATCCCTGTCTTTTGTGAAGATAGGGGTATATGTAAAAACAAAGAAAATTGTAATATATGATTCTTTTGTTCGCTTCACGCATGGATAAACCGAATGTACTAATTAAATATAATAAAACCCAGAAAATCCCTCTTTCTCTCTCGCAAGTGTGGGTCTAGGGAGGTGTCTGTGAGTGTAAGCGTGTGCCAGTGTGAATGAGAGAGAGAGAGAGAGAGAGAGAAAGGGGGTGAACTGTGAAGATCAGAGGCATTTCATAGAAGGTACAGTAGCACGTGAAACCAAAAAGAAAATAAACAGGAGGAGAGAGGAGTCAAGACAGGTCAACAGGGAAGAGCGACGATTGTAAATTGGTAATCGCAGACAATAATTGAGCTGCTTCTGCAAACTTCATTACGTACCGACCACTCGATCGCCATTCACCCAGTTTCCCACTTCAATTAATATACGATATTTTACTCAGTTACTTCAATTTTGCATTTGCAGGCCAGGAACTTTATAAAACCTTCCGAAAACTTGCAAACATAACGCTCAGTATTAACGGGGCCAGAAAAAACACAAACAAATTATAATAATAATCAATATTCTTCAAGGGAAGAAAAGTTGAAGTCATGAGTTGGGTGTGAAAATTAAAATACCTGGATTTCCTGGCAGGTTTCTCTTCTTCTTAGGAGGTGGAGGGGGAGGTGTGTTGGAACCATTGCTATTAGTTGTCGTTGAAGTAAGAGAATTTGGACTGTGAAACTGACCGAGTAGCTCCGACTGCCGTTTTCCGACACCGTCTCCGGCGTTCTCTGTCGAGAAGCTTCCACTGTCGCCGCTTGTGTTGTTCGACATTGAATTGAAGGCAGGCAAAGAGATAAGGGACGCGAATCTATTATCTATGAATTGAAATCGTTCTCTCTCTCTCTCCAAGCTACAATGATTTTTCTCCTTTTCTTGCTTCTCCCTGGAGGAAGATTTTCCTCAGAAAATCTCAGGGGAAGAAGGTGGTGAGGTCGAAACAGAAAGGAAGGGATATGAGTAACTAGAGGAAGACAAAAACCAGGAAACTCTCCTCCATTTATGGTGTGGGGAGACCAGGTTTGTTGCTGGCAGAAGAATACAAGAAACCAGGCTTTGGATTTAATATATATTCTATTTCTTGAAGCCACTGTTGCTTGTGCCTATATTATTTATGCCCCTGGCCTTCAATTATATTAAATACTTGCCCATTAATTACCCTCCTCTCTATTTCCATTATTAACTCACTCAGTGTGGCATTAAATACTGATCAAAATGCCAATTTATGTTCTTAAATATTTCTAGAAAAAGTTCAGGACGGAGGTCAAGACAACAGACAACAGTCATCACTTATCTGACTTTCGGTGGCAAAAAACTTTTCTGATTTCCATAACTGTGAATGGAACACTCTATCTAAATCAAAGAACTCACTTCAGTTCGTTTAAATTTATAAAGTATTTTTTAAATAACACTTTTAAAAATACAAAGAATTTTTTTCAAATACCCTTAATAATTATTAAATTTAAAAATCAAATGTATATTTTATTGACTGGTTTATTTATTGAGGTGCGGATTAATTGAAAGCGGGGAGAATCAGGAGGGCAGTATGGGTATTACAACGGGTCTGTCCGCAAGAGTTTAATTTATGATTTTGGCTGTTTCTGATGATATTTTAAATGGAATAATCTCGCTCCGGAGTTGCCACTGCTTGTTTTCAAAATCACAATACTGCCACTGAGCCTGCCGCCTTCAGCATGTAATTACTAAACCAGCCTCCCCCATGATAGGCGAGCGAGCTCTGATCCAAATCCTTCTCGAAAATGGTTCAATAATAGCGGGTGGATTCCCCGATAGATAATCCAAAAATTCTTCTATTCACGTGCGGCGACACCACTGAGGGCCAATTTTGATATAACATATTCAAAGCAGGGCTCTTTCGTCATTTTCGCGTAACTGGGAGCATAATGAGCAAATAACAGTGGCGTGTCGTAAGCGGCCTCCTCTCTAACTTATTTAATTCTATTTATAAGACATTTTCAGTATGTTTTACAAAGATAATTTTTTTTTATTAATTATTAATTAAAATTTAATGATTTTCTAACTTTTTTCTTATTTATTATATATTGTGCCTCATATAAACAAAGTCAACACAATAATAAATGAGGGATAAAATTATACATCCATACAGAAAATTTCTCTCAGTGCACAATAAATATGACCAAAAATATCTTCTCTCTCTGCCTTATAAATAGAACTAGAGGAGTATTTATTTTTCTCCCCCTTCGCATTTAAAATTGGTTATGCACCAGATTAAAATATAAAACAAGATAATATTATCATTATTGAGAGTGATATATAGACCCAAACCATGCCTAGAATATAAATGAGGTTAGCTTGCCGTTTCAGGTGGCGTTATTTTATTTTCGAAGATTGCAGGCCAGAGATTTCGATCGGATTTCTCACGGAACTTGGGGCAGTATTATTATATGATTGGACCTATAGGATCTGAAATAAATTATATTATTTATAATTTGTGAATAATATGAGCTCATAGTTTTGATATTTGACGTTGATATTGGTTTGATGATTAAGTGTGGGTCACGCGTGTCAATTCGAGTTCATTTTTCAACATGCAATAATAATAGACTAATGAGTACTTCAATTATGACGGCAATTACACATTATTTAATAATAGTATATTTCATGTCAGTTTCGTTATGAAACAGAAACTACGCACTTAACAGGCGAAATACGGCTCACAAACTATATAATACAATTATTGAGTGATGAGCCCGGCCGTAGGATCAATAAAAAGAGTTGCTTAATTTTTTCCATTGTTCGATAGCAAATTTTCTCGTGTTCGATCTTATTCAACTTTTTGTGCTGTTCAGCTATGAAATTACTATACAATAATTTTTTTTTAATCTCAGTTTCCTGTTGGGTGATATTAATAATCGGTTCTGCTTCCAGAGAGACTTGCTTGACTGAGAAAGTGACATAAATAAAAACATATACTATACAAACTTTATACTCCAACGAACTGTTTAGCACACACGTAACCTAAAGCCTAAAGGGAATATATCCGCCTTAAATATATACTCCTCCGGTCCTTATTATAAGACCCAATTTGACTTTTTATTTGATCCTAATTATAAGACCCAATCCATTTTCTCTCTTATATTTATGCATTTTTTTCCAAGATAATCCTTCTAATAATGATAGTTTTAGCCAATATACTTAATTAGCAAGGATATTTTAGGAATAACAATACTTATTTATTATAAATAACCAACTTAACTTACTTCCTTAATCTCTTCAAATAAGTCAATTGGGTCTTATAATTAGGACCGGAGGAGTACTATTCCATTATTAATTAATTATTTAAAAAAAAACATCGGCTTCGCAGAGCAAAAAGGAGAAGGAAAAAAAAGACTTTATTCACGACAGTTAGTTAATTTATCCCAAGTGTTCAGGTTATTGTAATTGGCGTTTTCAAATCTTGCATGAAACTAGACGAAATTAAATTACAATGTCTTTTTGTTTAAAAAGGGCATTCAGGGGAGTTTAATTAGTTCATTACTAAATACAATTGGGCCAATCAATATAAATTATCAATCTAATAAAAAACAGCTAATGATCACTCATAATATAGTAATCAATAGTGTTTAAATTTCCGTTGAAAAATATGCATACGTTTAATATTTAAAAGAGGATTTATGTGCTAGAAATTGCAAAAGAGGGCAGTTCTTCATGCCACATTGGCGGGTGGTGTGGCTTAACGTGGTGACGGCATATCATATAAGAGCCCATTGCTTTTATATGTACGCACGCCTTAAGGCTAATGTTCAAAATATCATACAAGAAGGGGGGAGGAAAAAAAGATAAAAAGAATGAACAGGGACTGTATTATTCAACGTACTCCCCTCGTGTTCGTTACGTTCCTTTTTTGTATTTTGCGTGTCCTGATTGACAACTAACGAATTATTCAACGCACATATAATATCCAAATGAATAAAATAAAAATAAAAAGGACCATATACTTATAATATAGGAAATACGCGTACGACTTATTTCTGCATGTTATTACTGAGAACAGAGCTGAGCTTAATATCTTCATTGTGACCCGATCAATAATCCAGTGTTTTAATGATTCAAACTGAAAGATACCCTTCTGTAGATAATGCACGGGTCCACCATTAGATAGAAAACGAATCCACACTGTACTTGATGCTGACTGACTTGTGTATATGCGACTTACAGGCGTATACTACCTTATCTCCTCATCCAATGTACCAATTTAATAGCAACTAGTTATATATAAATATATATATTTAAATTCAAATGTGCGTGTATATATATTCATTTATGTACGTGTGCCTGCCGTGGCCCACGGCTAGCTACTGGGCGGTGATAATAACCAAGAAAGTTTTCTGACCAAAAAAAAAACTAAGAAAGTGGATGCTCTGCGCTCGTAATCTTAGGTTTTAAACTTTGACGTACGGCAAATGCATGGGGATTAATACATGTGCAGATATGTTGTTTTTCCTTTAAAAAAAAATATAAACAGCGAACAAACGAATGAATGAGACACCAATTAAGTAACATTGGTTTCTTAACTTTAAAGCATGGTCTTAACAACCATGATTGCACCTTTTTGGTTCACATACAACTATCTAATGATGACGAATATAGTACTGAATAGGCACACATATTTTCCCATGACTGTTCAGGCTTGCATTTCGACGGTTCCTCTCGCTCCACTTGGAAAATATCGGACGGTTCCCGTTCATCAACGCAAACCTCGCGCTTTTTGCCATTCAGCGATGTTAACTGGTAGATTTTAATGTGAAAACTAATTTGGTATTTTATTTAATTTTAAATATAAGATATTAATTGAATTTTTTTCTTATTTATTTTTTTAAGATAGTTTTTGTAGTAGTTACAGATATTAAAAATTTTACCAAATAATAGTTCTAGCTAATACATATGATTAGTAAAGATATTTTCAAAAAGATAATATTTATTTATTACAAATAACCTAACTAATTTTTTTGAGCTACTTAAATTGGTTAAATAATTCTTACTTATTATTATTGTTATTGTCTCGATTTTGTTAGTAAATCGAAATATATGATTTAACACGGACATGGACGGTGGATCGTGTGAAATTTTATCTCTATCAATCAATGAAAAGGCGAGGGATATTGTTTTTCCACCGAGTCATTGATTAATTGAGGCGATGGAGTTGACAAAACATAATTTAATCGATCGGTCCCTATTCATTTCACTTAAAATTAAGTTTTTTTCCTTCCTTCCTTCCTTCCTCTCCCGTCGTCGAGAGTATCGATCGACCACTTGGGTTAGCGTTGGTCCCCACACTTCTCGGGCTTCGATGCCCACAAAAATAAAAATGATTTTTAAAATGCAACGTCGTCCACTGAATCTGCCTGTCAGGCTGTAAGCCGACGTTATTGTCGTTTCCATACAATATGTATTACCCAGGCCCTTATTTATAAAACTTCATATTTAAAAAAAAAAGGTGATCTAGTTAATTTATAAATTTGAATTTAATTTGATTTTAATATTTAATGTTTTTCCTAACATTATCTTTTATAATTTTCATATTTTTCACACATTCTCTTTCATTCATTTTCTTATTTTTTATAAAAAATATTTAAAAATAAAAGTATATTTCTAATCTATTTATTATTTTTAAGTAATTTTTTATTATTATTGAATTAATTATTTAAAAATTATAATAAAGAGTGAATGGAGTGTGAATATATATATATATATATCACTTTCACATAATTCTCAAAATAAACTACTCCTCCGGTCCTTAATGTAAGACCCATTTAACTAATTTGATTAGATTAAGGAAGTTAGGTAAGTTAGTAAATTATAAAAAAGTGACATATTTTTCCTAAAACACTATAATCATCTTTTTTAATACCCCCTCTTCCTCTTCTACTTATTACAGTTGAGGGAGTACCATAGGGGTAATTTAAAGAAAATTGATAAATATGATGAATGAACCTTATATTTAGGACCAAGACCAACTCAAGAATCAGGTCATATATTAAGGACTGGAGAAGTATTTTGCCACATGTATCATATCTGCTACATGACAATCCATAAGCTGTGGGTAAAAGCAGGAGAAATATACAGGTTAATGGGAAGGAGACAATGGAATGATGAGAAATAGCTAAAGCCCTAAAAGTACTCTCTCTCTCTCTCTATATATATATATCGACACACACATGCACACACAGGGAGAGCGAAACGAGCAACGGCACATCTGTAGGGTGTCGTCGCGAGCATGTTTTGTCATTATTTTGGAATGATTACGTTGTTATCATCGATGGTTATTTGACGTATGGTGAAGAAGCAGACATGGAGTCCAACTTCGGAAAAATGATACACATTTGAAAAACGACCAAAAGGAAACTTCTTATTCACTGAGTTCAGGGAATGATACAAAAAAAAGGGCACCCGATTTGTACTCATACATACCCTAATAATCCACAAAACCTCACTACTTGTTTTTGTTTCTTCCACTCTCTCTCTCGCCCTTGCAGGAGCTTGCGTCTTTCCTAAGGTCCACTAGTACATTTGCCTGTTTTCTCTCTCCTGTTAGGTAACAAAATTTTGATTATCAGATAAACTTGGCTGATTTTAGCAATATTGCCATCTTATCCGCTTAAATCAATAAACTCCTTCCCCCTTTCTGTCCATGCTGATTTGGCCTCTTATTGTTCGTAATTAAATTGTAAGCTGTATATATGTGCGAAGGCAATCTCAAACCAGATTGATGAAAATTTATTTATTTTGTTGCATTTTTCTTTTAATTTTCTGATGATTGTCCCATCTGTAAATTACTTAATAAATTTTTTTTTAAAAAAAGGGATTCATGGCAGACATAGTGTTAAGGAGGAAAGATCCTGTATCAATCATTTTAAGGAAAAGGTAAGTGTGATGGAGATTTTAATACACTGATGAGGAACTAGGAAGTTGCATGAGTGGGACCTCGTGGGGCTATATAGCACTGTGTGTGGTGGACATAGTGGCAAACTGGCTGTTTCTCTTTTAAGCATGCACGGCAACTTTTTTCATGTGTAAAGCCACTACCCTGTACCATCATCCCTCTCTCTCTCTCATCTCTCTCCTCCTTTCGACTTGTCCTCCATTTAGGACGTGGCTTATATGCAAAGGCGGTCGTGTTCTTTACATCTTTATTAGAAATGAAAGCCTGACTTAACAAATTTTAACATGCTTAATTTAGGAATTACGCATAAGCATGCGTTAGGTAGGTTATCAATTACTACCTCCGATCCTTAATATAAGACCCTGTTTGACTTTTATTTTGGTTCTAAATATAAGACCCCAATCCACTCTATCTCTCATATTTATATATATTTTTCTAAAGCAGCCCTTATAATAATAAGAGTTCCAGTCAATACACTTGATTAGCAAAGATATTTTAGGAAAGACAACACCTATTTAGGACAAATAACTAACTCAACCTACTTCCTTAATCTCTTCAAATTAGTCAACTGACTCTTATAATTAGGACCAGAGGTAGTATAATGTTTATCCCATTATTTCATGAACGAAAACAAACATTCATGCTTGCATTGCCATCGAGGCCTGTGTGGAAGGAAATTAACTTTACTAATGGCGGAAAATCAAATACAAAAGAAAATGTTACGGAAAAGAAGAACTTACATACATATAATGCATCCAAAGAAAGGGAAAGGCATGTGGCATCATTCACCATACAATGGCTTACAGCCTTTTCTTCATTATTCCCCCCTTTCCCTTCTGATACAATCTATTATATTACATCAAACACTTTATCTACGTGACAGATTAGCTGGAAATTCACCCATAAAAGAAAAGGAGGAGGTGGTTTCGTAAAAAATATGCTGAATATCGACCATAAATTACAGAAGAAAAGAAATGTATGCTTCTTTTGAGATTATTTTTCATGTTTCAGTTTTCTATTTTCTTAACAATTTACAATGTGAAACACAAAAAATTGTACTACTTACAAATAAGAAGCAAGCAGTGCAGTTGCATCCTACTCTGTATATAAGACCCATTTTATAGTACTCCTCCGGTCCTTATTATAAGACCCAATTTGACTTTTTATTTGGTCCTAATTATAAGACCCAATCCATTTTGTCTCTTATATTTATACATTTTTTTCCAAGATAATCCTTCTAATAATGATAGTTTTAGCCAATATACTTAATTAGCAAGGATATTTTAGGAATGACAACACTTATTTATTATAAATAACCAACTTAACTTACTTCCTTAATCTCCTCAAATAAGTCAATTGGGTCTTATAATTAGGACCGGAGGAGTATAATTTATACCATCAAATAGATGTTAAGTAAGTAGTAAAGGGTAAATAATGAAAGAAATTTTAATTAATTTGATCTGGACGGATGATTGATAAAGAACGAACGTAACGTGGTTGGAAGTGATAAGAACTGGCTGCCTCGTGACGCTTTATTAGCTCCGCCTCATCATCACTGGAAAATGCCCATCGCTTTACATCGAAGCTTTTCCCCTACTTTTGTAAAAAATTTACATAATTTTGTTATTATTCCTTTTTTCGGTGCATATCATGTTTTGGTCTTTTCGAACTAAAATGACAGGGTTAGATCCTCATAGGGATTTCGGGTTCTTTTCTATGTTGGGTCTGGTAAATAATGATAAAAAGAACCTCCCAGTATGCCATGGACCAGCCATCATCATAATGATCCATGGGTTAAAGCTTAAGCCTCTCGTCCTCTCCCTCGCTCCTTTTTGTTCCTTCCCGGCCATTTCAAGATCTTCAGGAAGATTAAATCTTTTAATTATTTCCTGCGTCGTCCTTGCTCGATCCTCTAATTATTAACTGAAAAAGAATGAATAAATAAGTAAAGGAGATATACTTTTTAGTCTTTAGACACGTCCCCTAGATTCTCCTGTCTCCTCCCCATAGAATGAATGAATGATTCGGGACCATACATATCACTCACTTCTAAAGTTATTTCCTCTTTATATCATTCATCATTTATACTCACAATTATTGCTCGCTTTATTTGCACAATCACTTGGTTTCGTTTCCATACAACTATCCCCTTCTGTTTGGTTGTTCGTAAACCAGATCAGTCTAATAAACCCCTCCCGATTAATCCATCCATGATATCCTGAGCTGTAAAATTATTAGACCCCTCAACGTGGAGAATTTCTTCTCATGGCTTTCAAATTAAGTTCTGAATTAGTGGATGCTGTGAAAGGTAGTGGCGATGCTATACGCAAAAAGAAAGATACTCATAGAATGACAGAGACAAATAGAGCTTTTACACATTTTCGTTAATCCATGAACAGGTCCCTTGTTTAAATATGCTTGTAATTAAATAGTTTCTTCTTCTTTTTCCCCCTTGTTTATAAACACTGTTTCTTTGAAAAATGTTTTAAAATAGTGGGTCCTCCAAGGTACAGTGCTGCCAAAGAGGAATCACAGATTTAGATAGGGGAATTATTATTACGTAGGGCGATCCTTTTTGTAAGCTTAGTCCTTCATGATTTGAAAAACTGTAGGGGAAAAAAAAAGGGTTTATGAACAGTGAGCGAGGAGTTCTAAACAATATCATCCTTCAACTTCATGCCAAATCTCAAATTATAAAGCATCGACATTAAAATATATAAGTATATAACTTACGCATCAAGATTTTTTCTAAAAAGACATATAACAATAATACAAGATTATAAGTAAAAATGAACTCGCAACTTTATATTTATAAAAAAAATTTATATTTTTGACCAGCATAAAAAATTTTATATGATTAGACTATGAGACTAATGACGACGTATTACACTTTGAAAATGAAAAATTTGAATCCTATCCTCAGGAAATGGGAGATGGATGCAGCACGAGAGAGAGCGCGAGAGGAGAGAGCCGAAAGAGACGTTGAAAATGGACCCGTGATGGTCAGTGAGTGCAGGACATGGGCCCCGCACGAAATTGCCTGGTGGAGCCCATCATGCAAAAGAGCAAAAGAGCGGGAACATGAGGGATCGCCTCTTGCTTCATCTCAAATTTTCCCCCGTTTGAATTCTGTTGTTTTAAGCGATCATTGGTCTAGTACCCAGAATTATTCGACCCAAAAGAATCACAAGTGCCCATAAATAAATTAAAAAAGTGATAAAAATGTTCAAATATAATGATCAGGTCTATGATTTTGATTTCCGCAAGTCCTTTATGTTTCATGGGCATCAAATTCAAATTTCTTATTATGACCATTTTAAAACAATTTCCCCGTGTTCCCTCCTTTATTTGACTCCCTTTAACTTTCCCCTGTTATCCACCACAAACTAACTTTCAGTCATGCTGATTTCAGTCCCGTTTGTACCAAACACAGTGATTTTCTTTCTTTTCTTTCTTTTTTTCTTTTCCCAACAAACAGGGTGGTTTTCTCACAAATAGGAAGCTGATATTGCAAAATAATCCTACAATGCGTTACTAAGAAAAAGGGGTAATCAAAAAACGAATAATTAGCACTTAGTTGGGTTTTTTAAGCATTTAGTTAAGAATTCAATCTCTGGTGGTGTATACAGAAAGGATCTTGTAGCCAGCACTAAAGCTCCTTTGGAAAGTCTACACTGTGAGGGAACTAATCATTATCAACAGCTTGTGAATAGCTTGGGTTCAACCAAAAAAAAAGAAAAGAAAAAGGATAATCACAATGAATAGATACAAAACTTTTTAGAGGAAGAATGCGGTTAGGCCCATAGCCATTTGGGTTGAAAGAAAGGCCCATATGCTCTGAAGAACAAATGTACGAGAATTTGTTGGTCTCGTGCATGTCGCCTCGAATGATGGAAATTTGACATCAAACTATTAAGGAGTCAGAGTCAGCCCATTGTAGTAGCCCTTTTCAATTGGATTGGGGCTTAACTCGATTCAAATTTGGATTACTTGCAAATATTAAATGATTTGCTCCAAAAGTGAAAACAAGAAGAAAAAGAAACAAAAGCAGGCCAGAATCACAGAGAATTTGATTGAAGCCCAGGATGGAGCTCTATACAGGGTTGTTTATAATTATTGTCTAGGAGCCCAAGAAGATGAACTTCAGATAAGACAATAACAAGAAGTCTATCTTTATCAACATCAAGATGACATGTTATAACGCTGTGAGAACGCAAAAAATTACCACCAACAAACTGACGTCGTGTCAGCATTCTCCTGAGCAGGCAAAATTCTGTACAATAGTAAAGATCACTCAGGTATTGTTCCCAGGTGTCAGAACTAGCGCGATCACAGGCACCTTCAAAATATGTAGTATTAAAATGACCATTCTAATGAAGAGCCTTGTTAATATCCTGGTTAACATCACTATCTCCATTCAAGTGTTTCTCTTGCATTGAACCCGCAGAAGAACCACCACTTGAACTATGACGATGCATTGTTGTTTTGACTCTGGTACGTGCCCTCCGGCATGGACTGAATGGGGCCTTTGGTGTTTGTACTTCTTTCTTTTTCTGTTTCCTCTGAACATATAATAACTCATTCTCCATAGACTCCAAGGCTCTAACTGTCAACGGTCGGTTTCTTGTGCTCTGCCTCCTGGGATTTACATCCGTCTTCTGCTCCACACAACCACCATCGCCAGAGATTCCTACTGGCTTGGGAACTTGCTTCTGACCATCAGACGTAAAACTTCCATCATTTGGCCTCAGGCACTCCTCATCTTCCCCCATCATTTCACCGTTTTCAGACTTGGGTGGAAGCTGGTGTAAGTTCAAGTTGATTGGTGGCTGTGATTCACATTTTTCAGCTTTACTGCAAGACATGCCTGTGCCAAGGCAATCTTTGTTGGGAATGCTTCCTTTGCTGTCCTCTTCCATAACTTCAACAGAAAAAGCAATTAAGAATGCATTATTTTGGCTGTCTTCTGGAAGGCTTGATGGCTGACTAAGTCCTGGTTTTTCGGATTTTGAGTCTTCTGAGGAAACCTCAAGAATACGGCTTGTCTCGGCCTTAGCACAAGCAGTCAATCTTCTACGTTTGATGGGAGGAGCTGCGTGAGTTGAATGACCAGATCTTGCTCTCCGACTGAACTGCTGCTTTACGATCTTCTTAAGTTGCTTATCATCAGACACGCTGGCCTTTTGACTTTGATGTTTTTCCACAATTTTGTGTGCATTATTATTTATACTATCATATGCCCCTTTTCTGTTGATTGATTCACCATCAGATGTGTCCCTATGGCAATTAACACTACTGCTATTCTTTTTGTCATCTAATGGTGCAGTGGTCTCCTTTTCACCAGGAGAATAATCAGACAAGCTCCCATTGACTTCTCTTGAAAGAGCAGTCATCTTCTTAGAAGCATCTTTCAATTCAACTGGCACGCATCTCAGTTCTCTAGATAACTTTCCACAGTGAACCAAACTGGTATCAACTACTGTGAACTTCGTCAACTTTTGGCTTATACTATCGAACGTACCTTTCCTGCGGTTTGCTTCACTGGAATGTTTGTCCCCTTTATCAGCCTTAACAGCAGCGTTTACCTCAATTTCACCCCTTGCGTTGCCAGACGAGTCACTTTCTTTTCCTCTCACTTGATTGGTATGTTGGGAGGTTATTTTGAATCCAGGGGGTAAAGATCTCAGTTCCCTCAAATCAGATGACTTTCCTCCATGCTTCAAACTGGTATCAACAACTGTGAACTTCATATGATCCGTTTTGAAAGAAGAAACTCGGGGTTTGAGGTAACAATGGCGATAACTATCAGATTGATCATCTTTGTCTGATGCCCTTTCTGAAATCCATCCATCTTCTCCATTGCAGCTTCCGACTTTACCTTCTTCAAATTCAAGCTCAAGAAGATTTGGCTCAGATACTACTTTGCTCAACACATCACTGACAGAATCAAAGTAATGATCACCTTTCACAAGTTTTCTCCTTGAGAATTTTTTAACACCAGGGATAAGAAAAACCAGATAATCTCTGGAGCTTACAAAGCCTGGATTGTTGTTGGGTTGCTCAGAGTGCCAACCTCTGGCCAACAAGCGGGGCCAAACGGCTTCCCAGAAGAGATCATTACTTTTGGCTTTGCTTAGTCGAAACCCTCCAGTCAAATATTTTATTATATCACAGGGTTCAAGGGAAGACCAGGCTTTGCCAGCTGGGGCAGAGGGATGAATTGAAAACGATGGGTTGCTCTTAGGAGGTTCTGCAGCAAAGCTTGTGAGGTCTGCTTTATCCTTACCGATTCCTACTGCTTCCACAAGACTGCTGAGTCCAACAGTAGACTTCAAAGAAAAGATGTATTCCTGGAGTGAAGCTCTGCCCTCAGCATAAGACTTAGAAACCTGATAAGAGAAGCAAAATAAAGATCCAAATAATTATTCTTCCACACTAAAATTATCTTATTCTGAGTTGCCTAGTAATATTGCCGCTAAGAAACAAACTACAAAGTATGCAAAGTTGAAGAAATAGTATGCCGGTAAAGCTTGTTAAGCATTCATTTTTCAAGATTAATAATAGGATTACAAGAATAGGAAAATGCAAACTAGAAAACAACCCCTGTCAAACAGATCAGCTCGTCACCTTACAGAAATAATGGGGATATAAAAGACACTGTGCTTCTTAAGTAAGTTGTGGAGCTATGCCATGCAAAAGTTTCTCCGTAAAGCCCATTTGTTAAATAAAGAAGTATATACACAATAACATAGCTCTGAAAAGTAAATTGATAAGTTTAAATCAATTTGCAGGTCATCTTCACAATTAAACAAACGACATAAGACCAAAACAGAATTAACACTGAAACCTCAAAGGTAAGGGCGTATGTTCTCGAACTGGCTCAAATATCCATAAAATAAGTCAACGTGTTCCCTAATTACTGGCATAAGGGATTGAACCCTATGATCATTACTTCAACCCAACAATCCATTACCTCTTGTACTGGAAGAGGCAGTGATTCATGGGGAAGTTTCAGATCCTTTAATTTAAGGGTTTATAATGACAACTCAATTCAAGAAAATTAAAACTGACGGTCCCAATACTATTTCATCATTTATTTATCATGATGCATCACAACTAGAAGTATACTTTTAGCTTGTAAAGGCACCAATAAACAATGTACAAATCATATTTCCAAGTTTTAATCCCTGGGTCAAGCAACAGTACAAAATTTAAGCATCACTTGAAATTCATGAACAGAATAAACTATGACTTTCCATGCCACAGTTCACCTCTCAAGAAGGAGTTACGTTTCCCTCAAATGATACGTGACCCCTTATTTCTGATCCCCCTGTATTCTACTACAGAGTCAATCACCCGTATCAAAGGCAATCATAGTACGCACAGACCACATTAGTGCTAACTAAACTATTCTATAATCATCAAATTTACATAAAAGATCCATACTGCCACTTATAAAAGACAAATGAAAGAAGCCCTACCCCCAAGGTCAACTGAAAGGTTGAAGACTTCCAGAAATATACATCAAAGAATACAGAGATACAGACTTAGTTAATGATCAAGTAACAGAAATATACATATTGCAGTTCATTAATGACATTGGAGGAAAAAGGAGTTAATGATAGCACAGCCGAATACCTGCAGCAATGTATCTTGAACTTGCTCTGGAACCTTTGAATTTAAGCGAGACAACAGTTCATGTTGCCTCCATCCAGTAAAAAGCTTCTGGCCCGTCACACATTTTCTCCCTTTTATTTTTCTGCAATCTGACCATCTAACATGGTCATCAGATTTGTAAAACTTTCCATAATAAAATGACAGTATTTCCCCCATTCCTTTGTCCTCTAAAAACCTCTTTATCTGAATGAAATTCTTCCCAAATATAAACAGACCAAGTAGAAAGCTTTTTATGTCAGCATCACTCCAAGAACTACTCAGTTTTCCGGGAGCTGATCCATAAGTTTTTCCTTGATCTTGTTGACATGACTTTCTTTCTTCTGTCGTCACAGGTTTTAAAGTGATCGGGCTCATTTCTATTTCATTGTCTGATGTAATATTTGGTTTCACATCACTTGTTTCTGCTGGTCCAAAAACATTGACATCACCATCATTGTTTCTAAAATATTCCTGCCCTTCATTTCTACCATCCTCCACTTCATCATCAATCCATATGAGGGGGACAGGCAAACCCAATGCAAAGTAAAGAGACTTGTCATTCACAACTTCTGAATCAGCAGGACTCCTTATAAGTTTAAGTCGTTCTGATTCAATTGTCATGGAAGGAATTTCCACTTGATATTCATCACCAAGTCGGGGATTCAGCTGTGGGGCTCCAACTATGTCATTTATATCAGGAGAACCAGGAGGACTTGACTGTATATTACATTTAAACTCCGTGCAACTATTATCACAATCGACGCAAACTAAATCCATCTGCCAAGCAACACTGACAAATAACTCAATCAATACCTGAAAAAACATTATGAAGGTTATGAAGATAATATAATCAGGGACATGATTCAAATATGATTTCCCTCTCTATATACGAATAATGCAGCGGGAGTCACCAAGCTATTTTACTCGGCAACGCCTATGTAAGAGCATCATAATAATAGGAAATGTTCAGCTTTTCTAATCATTAGCATTCTGATTTCAAGATTATGAGCTTTACTTTTTAAAGACAATTGATCATCCTATAGATGCATATGAGCCATATAAAAAGGTTGAGATCTCTCTCCTTGTTTTTACTACATTTAAATAATCAAACACTCTCCATAAACTGCGTGAACAGTTTGTTTAGCTTTAAAGAAAATTATAAATCTCCAATATTATGCAAGCGGATTTAAAAGATAGCAATGGAAAATAGGTCGTTTGCCTTTTGCATAAGCAGTACATACTAGTCAACTGCAACTGGTGTTTATTTAGTATAATTATTTCACAAACAGGACTTGCCATGGTTATTATTGTGGAGATATCCTATTAGAATTTTCAACTTCCTCAAAGTCCAAATGCTTTACATTGGTTTCTTTGATAATAGCTGATATAATGGTTGAAAGGAGGATTGATGATATTGCCGTAATTTTTTTTTAATATTTTTTAAGGGCGGGAGCACATGTCTTATTCGTAAACTGAATAGTTTTAATTCCTACAAAGCGAGAACATGAGATGTTGAAGACTATCAGATTAGCTTCAACCAACAGGTAAGAAGCTATTAATTGGGAAAGGAATCCTTTAATAACCAAAAAATTACAGAGAAAAATAGAAAACAAGATTCTTTCGCGTGTTGAGGCTAATTAGATCCCAGCTCAAACTAGAGCCATTGGTAATACCACAAAACATCAGAATTCTGAACAATGGCTGGGTGCCTAAAGTACTCACATAAAACCCTATAAATTTGCCTTGCCAGGGAAAGCAAAGTCAGCCTATCTACTCTCTACTCCTCCTTGAAGACAATATTCTTCACTGCTTGAAGCAGCTTCAGAACTAACATACCATAAGAAGACAACTGTATATGCGATCTTAGTGGAAAATACCCTCTGTAGAAATAGCATATATGACGGGGTAAATTGCCAACTAACTCCAAGATAATTAAACCCAGATCCATTCCTACTCGACTTCGTAATCAAAGTTAACGATGTTGTATACAAATCGATACAGAACGATCAGACTTAGACGTACAGCAGAGGAAAAAATAAAAGCAGGAATGGAGGCCAGAAAACAACAAGCACATTGGTATGAAGATTGAGTAAGCCACAAAATTACAACCATACAGCAAACAATCAATCGATAAACTATGGACCCAAAAATATTGAAAGATCTTTCTCTGTGTTCTTTGATATTATACACCCACAAACCATATAATCCTGAGATGCAGCACGAAGACATGTATTGGACAATATAAAGAGCATTGATAAGATTGATGATAGGGGAAGATAAATATCAGCTAACAACCAGGGAAGAGTTAACATCAAAGGGTAACGCGAAAGGAGAAACGTGAGAAAAATGGGTGCTTTGTATTTCGAGCTGATTTGCATATCTTATCAAACTGGGCATCAAACACATTAAAGCAAGCGTGAAAAACTATGGTACAAGACGGAAACTGAAAGAGTGGAATGAAGAGAAAGAGAACCTGGTGAAAAAGAGCTGACTTTAATGGCTGAACATAAGGGTGAATTCGCGGGGCATTACATGAGAGGGGGGAGAGAGAAGTGAACAAGAAAATACTCGTCTCTGCGTTTTTAAACACGCCGAGTTGCCTTAGACAACCGAATCGGCCGAGTTCTTGAAGACGAGTAGAGTTGACGTGATTACAAGTCATCCAAGTAATTCTGATAATCAAAAATCCGGATGAGGAAAAAAGAAAAATTGCTTGGAGCTGGACAGTTGGACAGTTCACAGTTATGTATAATTATCTCCCCTACATGTACAAAACCATTCAATGTAGCGTAATGTATCATTGTTATACTAAGAATCGAAGGAATTGGTTTAATTAAAACAAGTTCGAATTCTATTAAAAAAAATTAATTAAAATCCAGAATGTACATAAAAGAGTGCATTTAAAAGAATTTATTCATATTTTTTCTAAGTAATACCATGGTAGTGACAGGAACAAGACCTGAATCAAATGCGCCTTTAATCAATCTAATGATTAGCTTGAGAGGATAACATCACGTCACAATAATTTTTTTCTCCGATAATTTTATCTACCCGCTACTCATTTCTTAATTTATAATGAGCTGAGAACACAATTAACGAGCCAGCGTTGATTTATTGTGTATTGAAAAGATCTGATCTCGTTATACATTATACGAGCAACGTGACACAAACCGATGATCTAGTGATAAGATATTAAAACTAATATGTTTTTGTCCCTGAGAGGAACCTTGACATCGTATGTGTCACATTATTATAGAATTATAAAGCGCATACTGATAAATATTATCACGTGCAATATGTAGACAACATTATACAACATGAATTTGGCGAGCTTTTTGAATTAAATCTGATCTAACCAACATTAATTATCATATAATACTATTGGGCGAGTTGGGCAAATCTACAGACTAGCACACTCTATCCAAGTGTCAGACATTTTCCCCCCCAAAATCCATGTAAGTGCAGGAAAGCCAGCAATTAGTTCGTTTTTATCGTGGTTCACCAGAATTTTCTGTTCTTTAAAAAATGTAGCTTAGACTTCATGCTTCTAATACCTAACTCAATGCATATATTCTATCACACCATTAGAAGAATTTTGTATTCTTAACCCTGTTACACAAATAACCGCCGATAAATATTTAGTGGAGTTGAGAGAATTTAGACCCGTTTAGAATATCTTATAAGTAGTTTATAAATAACTTTTTAATAGTAATTTACGAAATACGAGACAAGTATGCGAGATGAGTTTTGTCTTGACTTATGTAAAATGTGCTCATAGGAAATTTTTTAAGCCCTCCCAAACATGCCTTTTGTTTCTGGCTTAAATGATTGTGACAAACACACCAGCAAATATATCTTTACTTTTAGTTATGTACTACTTTTTATCCTTGCATATTAAGTTTGTTTCACTTTTATTTTGATATTAAATATAAGGCCCCATAGACTTTATTTCGCATATTTATCTTTTTTTTTTCAAAATAGTTATTGTAGTAATGATAGTTTTATCCAATACACTTAATTAGTAAGGATATTTTAGAAAAAATAATATCTTTATTACATATAACTAACACAGCTGATTCTTTTAATTAACTTTTAATATGATTTTAAATACAAGATTTCAATTCATCTTATCTCTCATATTGATATATTTTTTTCAAAGTAGTATTTGTAGTAGTTGTACATGTTAAAAATTTTATTAAATAATAGTTCTAGTTAATGTACATATTTAGAAAAAAACAACATTTATTTATTATAAATAACTAATTTAAGAAATGGCTTGGCTATTATTTGCTTGGAATGATAATTAAGAAATTTACATGACAAAAGATCATACTCATATTATTTAATTTATTCAAATTAATTAATTAACTCTCATATTAAGAACCCGAAGGAGTATATTTCATGAATTTAATTAACAATTATTTATTTTGTTTTTGTCTTAGAATAAACTATGATTCTGGGCAACGAGTCAATGACACGGAGATGCATGGATTGCCCGCCCCCGGCGAAAAAACAGGGCACAGGCGTCAATTGGCAATTGGTATGACTGAACGCCCAAAAAAGAAAAACAAGGGACTAAACCGCGGCCAGGATTAATAGTTTATTTATTTATTTATTTTATCAGGCCACATTGAATATTTTACGAGTTTATGTGTAAAATTCTCATTACATTAAAAAAACTTGCTTTTTCAAACACCCCGTAAAAAACAAGAGAGACTTCCTTTTCAAAAAAAGTGGTGAATTCATTGAGCGGTAGATTGGGCTCAGCCCAGGGTCGTTCCCTGACAACCTTGGACTTCATCTAACCCACTTCTTTTTATATATATAAATATAAAATTCTGATATTTGAAAAGAAGACTTCTTTTCTGGTCAACAGTCGACAGAATATCACTTTCCTAAAAACCAATGATATGTGGGGCCAAGTTAAAGAAGAAAATTTCAACATCATCTAAAGCCCGCCTTCGGAAGCGATTCGGCCTTAAGGATTGCTCCCAAACTTAAAGAAGGCCGTGAGCCCAATTTACGCTGCGTCGCACAAGATAAATCAAAGCCAGTAGTTGGGCCAACCAGAGTTGATCCGGTTGATAAGAAGTCAGTTTATAACCTACAAGGTTATAAGGTTGATGGGCGATTTGTCAGTATCTCTGTAAGCGCTTTTTGAGCCTGAATGGCATGTCTTGGCTATAATGAACCTCGAGATCTAGCTTACCTAAACTTTTTTTGTATCAGAAAAAAAAGCCTAAAGTTGGAATAGTTTCTTGTGTGAAGGTGCATCCACTACTATTAAGTATTTTTTTCAAATATATCTAGTGTTTTAAAGTATTTTATGGTTTATTCAGCACTTTAAAATATTTTTTTTCAAATGTGTCTAGCCCCGTAACATGATTTATAATATTAGAGTCACCTGAAAAAAAATATTTTACGACTTTGGCTGTATTACAAAATATTTTAAAATATTGAATGCACTTTAAAAAAAAAAAATACTCCCGAACGCATAAAAGTGAAGCGTGAATGTTACAGAACCTCGTCCAATACGAGAAAGGAATACTTTGCAATGGGAGTTGACACAATGGAACCAGCTAATCATTGTTCCTCCTGGTTCTTGCCGCAGCGCAAGCTAATAGATTATGCACGAGCTATATCAAACATGGGGTTCATAGTGTAGTAGTATTTAGCAGAAGATGATTTTGGCTTCATCCTCCTCATTTAGCAAAAGACACTCACAAGTGTTCCCAGATCCTAAAAGGCAACAGAAAAGCATTGTACTGTTCTGAACTAATTAATGAAAGAAGCACAATATTGCAAGGGACCGAATAGTGGAATAACCTGGCCATCGATTCTTTATCCCAACATCCAAAAGCTGATGCTTTGCTAGAATCTACACATCTATCTTTACCTTGGACCCTCCATTAACGGGAGCCGCATGTTCTTTCTCTCTTTATGTCATGAGTCTTATATTAGGAAGGTTATCTTGAGGTAAGAATCTCGCAAGACTCTGAATTTTTGACTCTGATAGCTAACTTTTAAAGCCTTGTCGTTTCAAAAACTTGTGCCTGTAGCACTCTCTCTCACTCCCTCTTATATGTTACTTTCTCCTTCATGCTAGAGTGTGAATGTAAACATATCGCCACTCCTGGACTACAAGAAAGTATATATATACTACCCCTAATACTTAATATAAGATCTAACTACAACTTAGATCTCATGTTAAAGAATAAATGGAGTGTCGATAGTATATAGATTTGTCGAGAATGCAAACATTAAAATTACGTCTTATCTATCAACAGAACTAGACCGAACACCTGACTAATTCAGAAAGGGAAGGAAATGATATTCCCACTATAGTGTACTGTGAGGACTTTTTTCAGGAACATTAGGTGGAATTTGTACGTCCCAGAACCTGACAACGCATAAATGTGCTAGCTCCACTAATGTGACTAGTACGAATAACAGGTCAATTATTATATATTGTCTTAACTTAGCTATTAAAGTATAGGGATATTAGTGGAATGGCCGTGGGGACCATGGATGGACCAAAGCTGGTAAGTGGTAACTATAGTAGGCATTTGATTCCAAAACTGAAAATTTTCAATGTTATCTCTTGTCCTTGATGTTGTTTCTGGTTTATGTACCTTTTCAACTTTACGACAATCCAAAATAGAAAATGAGCAGACTTCCGTAAAATTTGATTCTATCTTCACAAATTATGAAAACTCGCATTATTTATATAGGCAAACATAATACATATACACCACTGTCATTTTATCCAGCTAGCTAGCAAATTTCTCTCGACATCTGGTTCCCAAATCATTCCTGTATGATCCTTTTTTATGCTTTTTCACAGGTTGCAATTAATTAGTGATTTTGTTATGTTATTGAGACATATTGTTTCAGCTAGCAGTAAAGTGATGCTATCTTAACTATGAGAATATCACATCCACACAAAAACAAAAACAAATTTTTCAGATGAAAAGGTACCATCTCTTGTGATTTCAATCATGACTAATTTGAAATTAGTAATTATAAATTAATATCTTCCGACGATGAAAATATTGATGTCTTAACATGCAACATTCATATCGTATTTCACGAACCGTTGCTTTCTCAAACACACAAACTTAATTTATATAATTAAGTAGCTCGGCGGTACGAAGAACAATTGCTTTCACACAAACGGGCAGACTATATATATAAATACACCTAAGCGGTACTAAGAAAGCAAGCTACGTTCATTGATTATTGGAAGTAATAAAAGCTGAGTTTGTTCGTTGATTTTAAGAAATGGAGGATGATCAGAGACTGTTGCCGATTGCGAATGTGGGAAGGATCATGAGGCAGATACTTCCTGGGAGTGCAAAGATCTCAAAAGAAGGGAAGCAGTTAATGCAAGAATGTGCGACTGAGTTCATAAGCTTTGTGACAGAGGAAGCTTCTGACAAGTGTCACAAAGAGAATCGCAAGACCGTCAATGGGGATGACATCTGTTGGGCCCTAAGTGCTTTAGGGTTTGATAATTATGCTGAGGCCATTGCCAGGTATTTACATAAATACAGGCAAGCTGAGAGGCACAGAATCGTCAACCAGAAAACCCAACCTCATCATCATAAAACTCAGCGTATGCTTGAAAAATCAGCAAGCTCCGCCCAAAGGGACAAGCACCCATCTGAAATCTGTGATGCATCAGAGAATAGGGTTTCTGAAGAGAAGGCTCCTGCAACAAATCAATCTCGATGAAGTTACTTGATACCGTCTAATTAATTCTGGCTCCTATTTGAAAGGTAATATATATACATATAGTCTGAAGCTGCTTGCTCATCTCATCAGTTCAATCAGTTCCTTTTCTTTACCTTTAATTATCTACAGTATCACTATATCTGGGTGTTATTAATTAAAAGCTGGCTCGCTGCTATAGTAGAGAGTTTAATACTTGTTACAAATGTTGATTGAATCATAGCTAGGTAAGGACAGGTCAACCGAAGATAATTTTTGCAGAAGGCCTCTTTAATTTGCATCGAAGAATTTGAACTTTTTTATATTGCTATTAGCCTAGCTAGTGATGATTTGAAGCAGCAGGAGCCTTCTTTATAGTGTGATGGATGATCAATACTCTAAATTCAGATAGTCCAAGTCTTGCAATTCTTTCAAGTTAATAACCACGCTATCTTTTGATCATTCGTTTTTCCCCACTTTGTCTAATCAAGTAATCAACTGGGAAGGAAATCCCTCTTCCAGCTTGCTCCATAAAAGGTATCTTTTTGTATCTTTTGCTGCGTAAATACAAGCCTTGTGACTTGAAGTTTAAGAACATGATTTGTATGCATATTGATTGTTCGATCTATCCGATGGACCAATCAGAATTCCTATACATGTTATCAAGATGATCCGATATAATAATACTGCGACTCTTTCCAGCTAGGGAGTGGTTAGGGAAGAAGCTGAGTGGTTAGTCGCGACCGAAGAACCTGCTGAAGAAAACGCAGCTGATGCGAGATAATGGAAATTCTTTATGTATATGAAATGGTTAAAAGTTGTTATAATAAAATCAATTACTCTTCCAGTGAGGGGATATGTATATAACCACAGATAAGTTAATCAGGTTTTTTCGAGGAACAAATTAAAACAGTGGTGAGTTCCGAATCCAACCAGTAAGTGATATGTCAGGGTATGGAAAACTGGCACATACATGTACTAGGTTTTGGTTTCCTAACCCTAGAACCAGGGACCACATGGTTTCGATGCTTTACATGTGCTTAATAAATCGTGAAAATCAAATCATATCTCAGGCATGCTTCGCTTTTATATGAGCTAGGGTTCTTAGCAGTGGCAACGCCCTATCTATTTAATTTGAACTTGCGTTAGAATTTAGGGTTTCCAGCATCCTTATCCAGGAACAAACCCATAAACCCTTGCCTTCTTTGGGACCACTTCTCAACCACGCCTCTCTCTCTGACACCTGCAAATGCGCATATAAAATTCATATATATGATCTCTGATGACCAGATCTGGTATGCAGTACTATTTACAACCTCATCGTGACAATATTATTATTAAAACTAAAACTTCTACTCATGTGAGATTTAAATCCTGAAAAACAAAGCATTAACATTAATCAGTTATAAGGTTATGAAACATTAAAATTTATGGCAACCCAACGCAATCGTGTTGACCGTAACACTTTGAAAAGCTGAAAATACTTATTAGCAGCACTAAGTTAATGATCTACATGTGATTTGATTTCTGGAATCCTAAAAGTTTGCTGGCGACTATGAAGCATATAATGGGGCGATGGTTTCCTTAAATAAACAGTTTCGAATGAACAGTGTTCCCGTTGGGTCCGACCATGCATGAATTTGCGGCATCGAGATTCATCAATTGCCTCCATGTTCATCATTTCTTTTAATTAATCTCTATTTAGTTGTGGCAAACCGGCATTCAACCGCCCCATATGTTAAATGTTTCTATATATGTTGAATATGGATCTTTGACAGTTACTAGTGTCACTGCAGAGAAAGCTGAATATATACATTTTGATAAAATTTTCAATTGTCTTATATGTTTAGTGAATTAAAATTCCGTCTTCAACTATTTTCATCTTTTGTATATATATACCTTCGTTTGCATCTCCAGCTCAGAAGAAGATATCTCGAATTTGTACATATATATCCTCATTTGCATCTCTAAAACCTGATGCCAGTAACCGTAGAAGATCTGTATATATTCGTTATGATAATTCTCATTAACTTAGTTCCAATAAGTCATGGTGCTGGATGGATGTAACTCATTGTCGAGCATGTACGAGGCAGATTCGCCAGCTAAATTAATCGATGATAAGAGGATGTGACCTTATTAAATATAGCTAGACGATACACACATCTTCTGATCAGAATCTATCTTAAGCTCTTGATTTTTGTGTTTGCTCATTTCAAGTACACCTATTGGTAAGAAATGTGGCCCATAATATAATTTGATTAGCATCTTAATTCTGTGAATGTCAATGGTGGCTTTTCTCAATGCAGAAATTTTTGAAGATTCAGGATGGTCAGAAATGATATACATATCCATCTATCTGTCTACACACACACACACCCACAAGTAGATATAGACGAACACAACCTTTTTTTTGGGGTATAATTGATAACTTTTCATCCATATATTTTAATTTCATTTAGGCTCTGCTGTTGGTGGAATTTCCCTCCGAGGTTAACATAAGGAAAATTGAGCAGCCTTCAATTTGCAGACAGATGAAGACAATCAGAGTTAACAGAAAACTAAAAATGAAAGCTACAATGACATGCATATAATAATGATGTTCAACATTCAATCAAAACGCAACAAGAGAGAATTTCATATCCATTCATCAGTTCGTTAGATCGACGCCTCTTTGCTTACATCACAACAAATTACAACCCAGAAGTGGAATTTGAAGACGTAATATTTCAGTTGCCCATTTTTCACACACTAGGCACTATTTCTTCCGAAGCCCAATCAGACAAGCATGTAGAAGCAACGAAGCATCTATTCTCGTCCCTTGGGACGATGAAGCTCCTAGCATGTGTAGACAAGGTAGAGGTGGACTAATACCACTCGTTTCCTTTGAGTGATTAGTTTCAAAATTGTGCGTCGACCGTCGCCGTTTCAACTTTCCGATGTAATTTTACTGATGTCTTGCACAACGGGTTGCGTCGAGAGGGATAAACCAATCCGATAATGGGGGAAAAGTCTCCATTTAGAATTTTATTGGCGAAAAATATCTAAATTAAAGCACTTCTGTATGTACAATTTACAAAATATCGGTAACATGAATACTTGCCAATAAAAATCTAGGAGATTCACCCCCCCCCCAAAATTTTTTTTCCTTTAGTCTTTCTTCTGAAAAAAAGTTCGCTTTGATCGAGAAGGGAGGGGGGAGAGAATAGGCTAATGATAAAGCAAGTTCAAACATTTGGATGGTAATGGGCATGAATAGAAGAAAACGCATAACACCGGTTTTGTTGCATTGGTTACAATTTGGTTCAGCTCGTGTTCAAGTCTAAAGGTCCTGGCTTTTCTTTAGATAGAGTCATGGGACCAACAAAAAACCTTAGTCATCACAATCATGGCCAACACGCTGATGATTTCCGGAGAAAATACACTGAACGGGGTTTACATTTCACAAGGTTCAAGCTCAGAACTCAGAAGCAAATTGATTTGATTTTCGGAGACAAGACAAGTTTCCCTTTTTTTTTTTAATTAAATTTTTTATTTTAATAGCCCAGGGGAGGCAGGGCACAGCTTATTCTTTCGTCTAGTTGCGGGGATGGCGCTGGCTGTAATTGAGGATGTGAACAACCAGACGTCTTCCAAATACAGAAGCGGAAGTGAACGTCTTAATTCGTGTGTAGAATGACATTCATGTGGGACAACTGATCATTTTTCTGATAGGAAGCGTTTCCCCCATTTGTTTAATGTTATAAATACTCTTCCAGAGGGCTACTTTTCACTGTTCACATGGTACCCTTCAATAGTCCATATCGTTCACCTGAGAGAGCCTTTAAAACAGAAACTCGGGTCGACTGACCAAAATAGTAAGCGGCACTTGCATCTCTTATTCGAAGCACACAGAAATCAGCTCTTTGTCGAGACAACAAAATCAACTAACTTGGTTAATAACAGCTTCCACAAATCCCCACCCGTCATCGATATCAGGTCCTACCCAATATCCCGATATTACTATATCAGTGCAACAATCAGCAATCAAATTAAGAGACTGAGTTCCCGATATAAATGCCTCTAAGTGATGATGACAAATTTGATTCACAGACAATACGCCTTTATTTGAACTGACGAAGGAGCCAAGAACATTTTGAGCTGCAAAATATACAAATATTGCTCAAAAGACAATTACATACAAGGCATCAATTACCAAAGGCAAGACTCTTCCAAAAATATTGCCCATCATCTTAATCGTTAAAGTTGAATATAGCACAAACATATAAGACCCGCACATACAATAATCACTCAGGATTTTGTGTAGTAAGCAATACAGGTAACATAATAGATCATTTAGCTTTTATGTTGCTGATGCCAATTCCTCGTCTTTGCTTCATAGTTCCTCATATTCATCAAAACATCTCATTACGCAAGTTTCCGCTTCGCATAAAACCCCATGGAGATTCACAAGGGCAACATTAACTCCTGGTCTCTACTCAAAAACAGATCCGGACACAACTGGTTTAAATGTCCAGCCGTGCAAACGAAGACCTGAACAGGTTTACCATAATTGTCATAATTTAGAGAATCTGATTAAGGATGAACTTTATGTTTTATGTGTCTCATCAGATTTGGAGCCCAATAAACTGCCACGCCCTTGATCTTTATAGGAGGCATTGGAGATTTGCGCCATATTTTACACAAGGCTGAACTCTTTCCCTTTAAGATCATTTTATTTCATTTAGCGTTCTTGAAGATTGGAAAATGCTCTTAGTTTAATGGAAATCTTATACACGTATAAATAATTATATTCATCATGCATTATAAGGCATTTGCCAAATCAAGATTTATATAATATCTAATTAAATAATAAAAGAAATGTAGAAAAATGGTTTATAAACACCAGCCTAATAGGGAATTATTCAAATTCAAAAGGGGAAAGCAGATTTGAAATACAATCACATCAACTAAGTTTTAAATTAAAATCTGATATTAATTGGTGCAGACTGCAAAATAGTAATATAAAATTTCCATGATCCTGGCTATGTGCTATTGTTAATGGAATAAGTAACCAGAGAAAAATAAGTGTGAATAGCTAGTTGTAGGCAAATAATTATTATCTTAAATAAATTAAGGCAAAAAAAAAAAAAACTCAAATCTATTAAAGGTGTTTTTACTTTTGATCAATAATGTTTGATTGAGTCGGTAAGGGCTTGGCCTCTGTAAGGATATTGTTAGTGAGTAACATATAAATCATAAGCACTCTGAGTCGTGAGCCCTTATGAGCCCATTATGTTCAACTCATTTAAATTTCTATGTAATTAAAACAAGAAGAAGAAAAGCAGGTGCTTCTAGTTCTGAACATATGGTACTCAAGCATTTGATGTGAAAGAAAAATACCTGTGTGACAACTTGTTACCATACTCGTAACTCTACCCAAAGCAAACTCTAATTGATGCCTCCTCTGCAAGTTAGTCACAAAAAAAAAAAGCTTGCATCATTGCAACGCAAACATAGTCAAAGTTATTGCAATAAGGTGAGTATCGCATAAGCGAGGCAAGGTTGCAGCAATGGTCATCAAAACGTTACCACTTAGCAATTTTCCAGCCTTTGTACGAAAGAAGAGGGTTATGATTCCATAAAATTTACAGGTCACAGGGATAAGGCAGCAAACGTTTTTCACTTATGCAGTAATGCAGCCAGACCAAGCTTAACTTCCTAAGCTAAGATAGCCCTTTAACCTTTTAATTAGTGTGCAACCTGAGAGAAAGGAAAACCCCAGACATGGAAATTTTCCGTTGCTATAAAGCAGCGACAGCTTTTCTACATTTTGATTCTATGGATTCCTTTATTTTACTTCATTGAAAATGAAATCCTTTAGAGTTATCAGGAAAACATGAAGGTATTGGCTTAATTTTGCGTATTCCGATATAAAATAAGCTATCGCCTTATTTCGCCCCCGTAATAAAATTTGCTTACACAAAGAGAACTTATCCACAGTACGAACATTCACTTAGTAATTCCCCAGAAAACAGTCACCCGCATACAATAAAAGCTAATAGATGTGAAAAAAATGTGAAGTTCTAAACTTCCATAAATTGACGAAAAAGGCTTTTTCGAGCTGGAGCTTCGATACGAAAATTGAGGCTTCGAAAGAAAGTGGAAGAAGAGGTCTAGGATTACAAGCACAGATGGTACGAAAACACGTACCTTGATTAGAGTTTGTGAAGCGCGCAGAGGACCGACGTAGAAGATGGGAACTAGGCTTGCCATTTTGAAGGCTCCGCAGCCACCGCTTTTGCCGCTCCGAAAGCGGGAACGGCGCCTGATACGCTACCCTGGGTTTTCCCCTCTCATAACGGCACAACAGGGGTGACTTGTTATTTTTTTTTACAAAAAAAGTTTAAAGATGGAAAAAATTTGAAATAAAAATAACTAAAAATAAAAAAAATATACGCAACGAGTGGCGAGTGAGAACCGAGAAGCAATAAAAATTGAAAAAATAACCAAAAAAAATATTTGTTAAATTTTAAAAAGATAAATTGACTACTGGTGATGATTTTTGTAATGATTTTAACAAGTTAAACTCATCCATTTATCATTTTAAAATTTAAAAGGTATTTTTCTCTCATTTTTTTCATAAAAATTCATCATGTTTCCCTTTAATTAGCCGAGACAAAACCTTATAGATTTAGTCTTGAATACCTGAGACGCTTGTTTGTTGTTTCTAATTAAATCACGCAGGAGTTTTATATGTTATTTATAAATCATGCAGCATTAAAATTCCTGATTTATTTTTGCGTTTGAAAGATATTTTTGACCAACACGTGTTTATAACATTACTAGATAAATATTTAAATAAATGTGTTAAAAATTTAAAAATATATGCATTAAAATGATTTTTAGTAACATTAAACAATTAATAATTTATACCAGAACCAAACGTATTCATCGATTTTTAAGTTCAACCGGTAAAGTCAGACCAATTTCCTCGGCCCTTATCCACTGAGAATTACATCACAAAATTTGAGTTCATAAAATGATGTGCAGGGAATTTAGTTTCCCGACGATAACTGGCCGGGGGACCTGAATCACAGATGAAGAGAAACACCATAGCATCTCCGGAAAAGCAGCCCAGTAGCGAGAGCAGGGCCTATCATAGAAGCTTAGGCGAGAGAAGGCACATTTTGGGGTTCATTGGAGCCCTTTTTGGATTTGTGCTTTGATTTCTTCTCTCGTTTTTTACCCCTACAAAGCCATAACATGGCAGGATTAAATTTTGGAACAACTCCCAAAAATCAGAAAAAAGGGGGCATTAAGGGCACAGAAAATACTCGTCATTTGAGCTGACACCCCAACAGGATTTCAATTTCCTGTTGATATGCTTCAATTCCTTCTCTGAAGGAAATTTGTATTTCTTTACCTGCAAACACAGTCAACATTTGCTTCTTCAACGTAAATGATATCCAACTAACACAATGAATTGTGCATCCGACACTCAATTTAATAACGAAAAGCCACAATGTGAAGTCATTACCAACGAGTCAATTGCATTCAGCAATCCAATAAGCTCAGGAACAGTATGTGTAGAGTTCTGGTGGGAAATGATGCTCCTTAGATAGCTACAATCAGGTGGCAGTAGAAAAGTGAAACTCTAATAAAATAACCGTCAGTTTTCGGTCAAAAGTGTATACAGCAAGATGACTCCCCAGCCCGAAAATTATGTATTTCTAGAAAAATTAGGGATACACAACAATTACCCGTCAAAGTCAAGAACTTTAAGAAGTGCATTTGAATTTCGCAAAGCAGCCAATCCCAACTGCAACGGAAGACAAATGAAAGGTTAAAATAAGATTCAGAAGCAACAGAATAGATTAAATCAAAATGAACTATATCTTGAAGTAAGAAATCTACTGATGCGTATTCGTAATGTAGAGTATACAGCTTAAGGCATAAGACGGATTCTTTAGGTTGATAAACGGAGTTCATTAATTAGAGGCAGTCAGAATGATAAGCCCAAAAAAAAAAGACTCTTGTCATAAAAGAATAGTAAGAATTTAATAGGAAGCATCGATATTTACAGAATATAGTCATACTCATATTACCTGGCCAGGAGGAAACAAAAGTGGAGCATCTGTAAGCATCATTTTATCAATTTCCAATCTTGCAGTGTCTCGCAAGGCCTACAAAGTATCAGAACATCAATAGAAGGAAACACCATTATTATCAAGAGACAGAAAGCCATCTCATCATATCATATTAAATAACAAGCATGATGTGCAAGCATAAAGATTTAATGAATAGAAAAAACGTTACCAAAAAGAGTTGACCAGACAAAAGTCTGGCCTCCCAAAGGAATACGGCGGGAGAAGCAATTAAAAAAAAAATGAACAAATTATTAAAAGAAAAATTTTCATCTCCTCCTTATGATGATGTGATTGCATATGTTTGTAACCAAAACGATTTCTAAATGGAAAATTCTGAGTTGAAGATCATGTAGGCACCCTAAGCAATAATCTGGTTACAATAACAAATACCTTCAACATTGGAAGCACTTCGTCACCAGCCTTGCAAAATTCCTGTTAATGCCAATGGTCAGTGTCCAGCATGAAACAACAAAAGTCCAAAGAATGCAATATTAGTAGCAGTCAAGTTAAAATTAGGACAAAAGAGAAAATTATTTATTGCAAGACGCAAAATCTAATTAACAAGTAGAAAGGTCCATTGATAGATCAATCACACAAACCTCCATATTGTTTACAAAACCTTCAACTGAGCGGTACGGAGCATACACAATAAGGTCAAATTCTAAGCTCTGCAAAACAAGGGATCATGTCATGGGCATTTAAAACAACAGCAAGACACATATAAAAATTGACATGTGAGGCATATCCATGCCTGATAGACAATCATCTCATTATTGAGAATCATTTGGTGATCCTGTGAGATTCCCTTACCAAGCTCCTCAGCAGATACATGGTTTTCTTCTATCTTACAAGCAGCATATATGCAGGTCAACCTGAGCCAAAATAACAGATCCAATTAGTTATTCTTGCATACACAGAAACAACATTGATTTTGACGAAGTGTAAAAGTCTAATCAGAACGCCACACCATCCATCAGATGATAACATTTAAAAAATGTGATTATATTAAGTACCAATAAGAAGATATATGAGGAAAAACGATTAATTAAAAGATCAAAAGAGTTGACTAACAATAATCGACCCATCTTAAAAGCTATCCATGAGCTGATTTATATCCCAACCAAGTTCCAACTTTTGGAATAAACTACATATGATTTTATGAACTACAATTTCAACTTGCAATATCATAGCAAACAATGAGCGCGGTTCATTCTCAGTGCTGAGAAACTCTTGTACTGATTTAAGCCAATCTTACATTATATTTTTTGGATGATGTTCCATCACCGACCACTGTAGATAGAACCTTTTAAAATAAATGAGCGCTGTAGCCTGCATATAAATTTAAAAAAAAAGAAAGAAAAAGAAAAAAAGACATTTCAAAAAGTCCATTATGGAACGCATATTGTCAAAGCCAACTTGTTAGCACAGTCTTTCCTTCAAGTTACAATTACAATAGTGCATACCTGGATTTTATGAGGAAAGTGAAAATTGTTGCACACTTCTTGTAATTTGTTCTCGTAAAAAACTCGGATACATTGTTCCTCTTCAATACTGAGGGGTTTAGGGCGAGAATGCTTGTCAGCTGACATAAAAGATAGCAACCTTGTCAACAGTTATGAATTCACATAAGTATCAGGAGGAACAAGAATCTGATGAAGTACTTCTGAACCAAGAGATGCTGACTGCTATCAATATGCAAGGAAGTAAGATGATGAGAATTTTCCCGAAATTACCATTATCTTTCTGAAGTGAAGGATATGACAAAGACCCATCGACATCTACTTCCATAAGAGTTGCTCCATGCTTCAAAAAAGTCAGTAGTCATCAGTGACCAAATATAAAGTTCCAAATGTTACCAATGCATTTTCTTCTGTGACAAGTTACATTGTGCTAAGAAAATATGCTTGAAAGAGAGGGAGAGAAGTTCTAATGCTAATACAGATTACATGTAAGTTCAACTTATTGTAACATACTATTATAGTATCGTGATTGAAAATATTGGAATGAGATGAACACAGAAGAATCTTGCAGTAAAATCCGGGTTCTCAGACACCATTGAAGATGTCTCTAGAAGAAGGTACATGTTTTATTCTAACCCCTCCTTAACATGTGTCTATACTCTATTTGATTATAACTACAAAAATTCTAGGTTATCACCTCCACCGAAAAGAACATAAAGCATGCAAGAAACTATTTTTAGTACCTTCTTCTCTTTCTTTTGCTAAGTATAGCATCAGTGCTGTTGACACATTTGTTTTGGGGGGCCCCCCGGGGGGGGGGAGATGATGGATCGGAGGAAGAAAATATACATACCTTCTCTAAAATTTGTATTGCTCTCTGATTAGCAGCTTTATATTTTTCAGCCTAAAACGAAAAAACATACGCTTCAGCAATAATACGCATATAATGTATAACAGAAACCCTTGTACTTTTGCAACCAAAAAAAATCGTCTCGAACTTCGACGAATATTAATTTTAAAGCATTCCAGCTTCAAATTACTACTTTTCTGCTTCTAAAGCAAACCAAATTGTCTATCGCAAAGATAAATTAGCTGTCGTTGGTACAAGGTCAAGAAGTTTGCGCTGGAGTTTTCTTTGCCCAGCATTCTTTATGAAGTATCAACTAAAGATGAAGACATAAATCAAAGAGAGCACAGAAAAGCACCAGTTGGGGAGGAGTGAAGATCCACTTGGCACGGTGGGTAGAAGTCTGAAAATCGGCCATGGCCAGCCAGAGCCTGCAACAGGCGTTTTTGCTATATTATTATTTACCCAAGAAACGAAAGCTGGAACACACTGATGAACTCAGATGGCGAAACGCTCTGTCACTTCCACAAGAATTTCTATGGGCATTTGGAGTTCTAATGGTCCTCCCCTCAAGTATTATTACTCCTTTTGAGTATTAACCCTTTCAATAGAACTCGCGTGATTCGTCAAGATGAGCTAATATAAGCAGTTTATTAAATTACTTATTCCTAATAAAACAACTTAAAGATTATTTGAGTAAAAATCAAACTATGATAGGATTTTAAAAGTAATTTCATGAAATTTAAAATATATATATATAATTTTATTTTGATTTATCTGAAAATACTTTTTAAAAGTGTTTTTAGGTTTGTCCAAACACCTTTTAAATATAAAATGTGAGAGCAGATATTTTTAATGGAAACATATATATGCAGTTTATTTTTAATAATAAAAAAAAATACAAACGACATTACAGTCTCAAAAAGATGAATGGTTTTCGATAATAAAATATATACTTACATATCTTTATATACCATAAAAATTTTAATAAATCATATTATTTGTATGACGTAGTTAGTATAAGTTAGAAACAAATGATATTTTGTATCTAGTTAGAGACGAAATCGAATTTGAATTTCAAAACTCATTTTGATTGGAGAGAAGGCTGGGGTAACATGTTTGGAAAATCATAAAAAAAGACCATAAAAATTATAAAATTGCAAATCAAGATCTCATAATTTGCATAAACTTTGACAACAATTGTACAATAGATGACAACAAATTTTTGACAAAATAATTTACAATTTTACCCCCCCTTTTTTTTTTGCGATTTTCCCATACATTTAGATAGGAAAAAATCCAGCACCCTTCAAAATGGCAGAAATCATGATTTAGTGGAACATAACAGTATTACGTCAGCAATTTGGGAGACGGATTATTCTAAAAGTCATCAGTCTGCGTTCCTCTCCAAAAGAATCAACTGAATCAGCTGATGGTATCATCGGACACTCAAATGTTAACTACAATAAGGAAGCTCCATCAGACAGTCCAGAAACAGGAAGACATTAAGAGGGAAAAAGAAACGAGGAAGGGATGGATCATGGATGAGAAGGGGACCAAGAACATGGAGATGACGCACGACGGTGAAGATTATGAGCTCTGTGTATGGCCATTGATTGAATTCCGCTGAAGCCGGTGAAGCTCGAAGGTAATTCACGGTCACCAGTTAAGAATTTGGCTCATCGACAGGTGTTTCTTAGCAGGTAGGGATAGATTTTCAATTTAACAGTCAGGGACAGATTCTCTTTTAACAGCTGAGAAAAAGTTTTTTTTTTTTTTTCCCAGTCAGCCGGAGAGAGCGTGAATTTCCGGGGGAGACCAGCTTGCTGGAGAGAGATTTTTCTTTCGTTAATTGGAGATAGATTTCTTTACCAGGTGGGGGCAGATTTTTTTTCCAGCTGGAAACAGACTTTTTTTTTCTTTTTACTTGTTGGAGACGGATTTCTTTAATCAATTGAATGGATATTTATTTTTTACCTGCTCAAAGCCGATTATTAAATTATATTTAATCAATCAATCGTCATTCAACTTGAAAATGTTCCCCTTGTTTTTTGGCCTAAAGAAAATTTTCCGTTGCATGTTATACTTAGGGCCTGTTTGGGTATCCCAAAACCGCGGTTTCAGAAGCACTTTTCCGCGAAACGAGATAATCTCCTCCACATATTTATTTCGTAATCCGTAAAAGCACTTCTGAAACCATGGTTTGGTTTCTATCCAAACACACCCTTAATCAATTAATGGTCATTCAATTTAACAAATTACCGCTACATGAAAACTGAAAAGAATTCAACTTGAAAGCGTAAAAGAGAAAGCCGACCTTACCTAAAGTAAATTTTAACAAGAGTTTAAATTATTAGTATTTTTTTTTCAAAAGTGATTGGAAAAAAAAGTAATATGTGAAAAAAAAGTTATTTCAACTTACATTTTTTTTCTCAATGTTTTATGAGTTTCGCAAACTCACTCTAAGGTTAAATTAAATGCCGCAAATCAATTATAATCAGTTAGTCAATTAATTTCGGACTATCAGATTACAAAGTAAAGTATTAAATTTAGAGTAAAGCTGCAAATTTATCTTATGTTTATTTTTTAAGTGTATTCAATTTTTTTTGTGGTATAATTTTACTTAAAATGTTTTTTTGACATAATTTTACTCGTCATTTTTTGGGTGCAATTTTACATTTAATCTTTGAATGATACAATTACACCACCTTCTCATGGATAAAATCAATCAATCAATATTGGACCATCGAATTACTAAAAACTTTCGGTTATAAAAATTGAGAACTTAGCTTGAAAGCGTGGAGTAGCAGCATGAAATAGACTACTTTCTCTTATCAATATAACATTAATACTCTTCCACCTTAGCCGATCAGTATATGCGGCTTAATATTGGCTTCTCACCTAGAATACTATTCATAAGCTGTCCAATTTACTCATCGTCCTTCCATGGGCTGCGTGCAAGCCATTTATTGAAGCTAAACAATAGCTCCTCAACAAGTACTGCCTATGCACCAACACTATATTTCCCTCTCTAAGCAGATAATTCAAAATCCTTCATTCCCTCCTTATCACACATTTCGAATTTCAAAATCCCTCATTTCCTCCTCTTTCTCTCTCTCTTCATTTATGCTTTTGTCATCCGTTTCAAATTTCAAACCCCCCAATTCGCTCCGCTTTCACTTTTTATTCATGTCTCTTCAATACCAACAATTCTCTCATTTAAAATCAGATCTTATGTTTTATGCAGAATGGAACTCCACCATCTCTATATCTCCTTCGTTTTTTTATCGAGATCCTTTTGACCTTCTTATTCCTTATCTTCCATGTAAAGTTGCTGTTTGTTTCTATTTTTTCTCCCAAACGTTCTCTTTTATTTATATCTTTTCTACCCATCGGTTTCTCTCTCTCATTCAAAATTTAGAAATCGACCCCCAAGCAGTGCACTTGGGCTCTGTGTTGATATCGGTGCACTAGCATGCGGGCATATTATGAAGCTTCAGATTGAGGTAGATGAGGAGATCAGTAAGATTGTTAATACTCGCTTCAAGACCATGGCGTACCAGTAAGTAATGTCCCAAGTCTGAACCTAACATTCTTATTCATCTCTCTCTTAGATTCAAATCCTGAATGGATGAATGAATGAACCGATCAATCAGCTTCAGTATTGGGTTATTTATGATATGAGATTTGATTGACTTACAGGATGAAAGTGGGAAGTGGCATGAAGGAGCAATGACCACTCTTTTAATGTTTAATACTCATCCAGTCCTTAATATAAGATTCATTTAACTAATTTGATTAAATTAAGGAAGTTAGGTAAATTAGTTAATTATAGGAAAAGTGCCACACTTTTTCTAAAATACCATAATCATCCTTCTTAATACCTCTTCTCTCTCTTCTACTTGATTATGGTTGAGGGAGTATCCATAGGGGTAATTTAGAGAAAATTAATAAATATGAGAAATGGATCTTATATTTAGGACCAAAACTAACACAAAAATTGGGTCCTATATTAAAGATCGGAGGAGTAAGTCATTGTTTATATAGACGGCCTTCTCCTTCACATCCCAAAAATAAGTCATTGTTTATCTCTCTGTCTCTTATGCTCTAAGCCTAACCTTCAGGTTATTTCTCATATTTTCTTTTAATGTTTAATAATATATATATATATATATATATAACTCTTAATAGAGTTGTGAATTTGAGTTTTAATATGCGCTTCATTATCATAATAAATCATCGCAAGTGGTCGCTTAATTTGGATTTTTTTTTTTTTGCTTCTCATTCATAAACTTTTGTTAATTTTATTTTGCCTATCAGTTTGTACTATCGTAGCTTAATCCTCATTGAAGATTGAAGGTTTTTCTAAGTTTTGAATTTCTCATGTTTCATCTAGGAATGGTTAAAAGAAAAGTGAAAGGAAGAAGCTCTTTCACTATGTTGGTTGTTTGCCAAGAGACGAATTATGCTTTGAATAATTCATTCCACTAGCACCTAAGGAATGATTGGTTTTGCAGGTTCGGTATTATTAAAAATAGAATATCGTTGTGGTGTAGGATGATCTTGATTGTTTTTAAATAATCAAGTGGCATTCTATTTTTTTTATATGCACACACTAACTGGCGTGTAATGAATGATTTTTTTTTTTAATTTCCTTTGTGCAGTATTCATCACTTGAATGACCAAAAAACCTCAGTTGCAAATGAAGGTTATATATTTTGATGCCCATAAGAAAAGATTTTTATATTGAGATGCAGTATGGGTATCGAGAAGTTAGAGTTGATAATTTTTTTTCACACAACTCTCATATTTGGATTGTTTGTTTTCAATATCTCTTATTCAAATGGATGTGCATTTGCGTAACAAAATGCACATATCAGTTGCAACTTGGTATAAAATGCTTGATCTTTGTCTTTTTCTTTTGGCCCAAGGGCTATGTTGAAATATTTGGAGATGATTTTTTATTTTTGATATATCTTGTAATGTAATAGGTTTATATAGGTATTTAAATGGTTTGAAATTAATGAGATGATAAATATATCAACCTTTTTGCATCATTATTTTCTTAGAATTATTTGACCCAAGAATAAAGGGGTTCATCCAACTAAATACGCTAACGCTGTTCCAAGAGAAAGCAAGAAACCTTGGTTTCATGCCTTAATGGTGTTGAAGCAAATTCAAGTGATTTGTGATTTTCCATCAATCATTTTTTAGTTTATGACAAATATCGTCTAATGGATTGATGTTATCTAAATGACACCATTAGTTAGAAGCCTTGACCTTAGTTACTAGAGGCTATGTTAGCTTTCGTCCTTTTAGAGGCATAGTTGAAGACGCTAGATTATTGTTACATAGGGATTTGCATATTCTGATTAATCATACCTTTAGGGAGCGTTTAGGTTTTGCTGATTTTTTAGCCAAGTCTTCACACATGATGATAAAAAATTTGTATACGTTTGATCAACTTCCACTTCTTCAGCAAGAGGAGGAGGTTGATAAAAGGATTTTGGATTCTGTTTTGTTGTTTTGTCTTCCTTTTCTGAATAGTTTTCTATTAAAATAAAAAATTACACCATCATCATAAGTAACCCCTGTATATTAGATATCTAGGATTCAACCTGCTTCATTATATTTAAGTAACCCCTCTATGTTTTGAATCACGGAAACGAACGTGCGCATTCTAAGAGGCAAATGGATGTGAGGTCAATCCAGGTAAGCTGATAGCCATATTAAAATGAATATCAATAAACATCAAATGTTGTTTATAAGGAATTTTTAAAAAAAATATAGATGGTGATGTTGTGTAATTAACACAAATCACACAATTTCTAATGTTTTGATGAGATTTAAATTTGTAACGAAAATAATTTTGCATAATTGTAAGCTTCCCGTGCAGCGCACGGGAGAGTAAAATCTAGTTTTAAATATAAGGCTTCCTCGACCAAATGTAGAGCGGATAAAAAAAGAATGTAAGCAAATTGATTATTTGTAATTAATATATCGAAAATCTATGATACTTGTTAAACAAAATTCTATCATTTATCAATTAAAATTTCATCCATAAGAACAAAATTGCCCCCATAAAGTGTCATGAAAAAGAAAAATAATATGAAAATGTGACATTATATATTTATGATCAAATCATAATCTTAAAAAATATCTTATATTTTACTTATTCCTAGAACTAGAAAGGGTGTTAGAATAATTAAAAGTAACTAATATTAGGTTTTTGTCCAAAGATAAACATTCAGCATCAGCATTAGCATACAATATAAAATCAAAATCACATCATCCACAAACAGTTAATAACTCTGGTCCGAAAGATAGTGAATAACCCTACTCATTTCTTAGACTGCATGCAGCATGTAGGAAAATATATCCGTGTAAGATTAAAGGAAAAAATAAGAAGAAAAAGTTAGGACTCACCACGGCAGAAGACTGTATTTCGAAACTATATATTCTCTTCAGGCGGAAGACGGCCTGCGACGGCCATCAGCCGGCTGCTGTCTATCCCAACTGACCTGACCATTTTCAACTCCATAAATCATGAGACGCACTTCTTTTCGTAGGCTGAGCAAGATGGGGATCTTTTTTCTTTTTGCGGAAACAAGATGGGCAACTATGAATTTTGTGAACAAGGAAAAGAAGGAAACCAAATATGGCAAACCCCAGGCACGCAAATCTAATCACAAGAGAAATATATCTACACAAATATCCAGGGGTGAACGTGACAACTGTTGCTCAGAACCACTCGACCATGCATTTGGGATAGAAGCCTTCACCAGCAGCAACATGGTTCATCGCTAGTAGTTCTTTCTGAACTTTTCGTCTCTCATAAAACACCGAGCATGAAATTGACGTGCACTTCACATCACTTTCCAGAAGCCTGCCTCCACCCTCACAATGGTCGCATATCTACAAAGCATACCGATACAACTATCATCAAAGCAATAAATGATGCGCAGGGGCTAAGCCATGGAAGATAGTTGACAGAGATGGTCACCACGTGTAACGTCAACACTGCACAGGGCTTTCAAGTTCTTGCTTTGCCGATACACGATATATAATTAGAAATTGTATACCTCTTGATTCAAAGGCGATAAAAAGAAAAGCAGTAAACAATCACTTACAGCAACAAGATGCTGCATCTCTCGTTCCAACTTTGATGTTTTACTAATCACAGCCGTTGCAGCAGCCACTCCATTTTCAGAACACTGAATGCATATATGTGCAGATCCTTGGACCAACCCGCCACACAGTATGCAATGCTTTGACAGATAATAGGAGTCTATTCTTGTTCGATGTGAATTCGGAGCTATGAGATGCTTTACACGGGCTTCCTTTAAAGGACGGGGCATCTCTAAGAACCATTGGTTAAGGTCAGCACCAACAAGCCCAAGCACCCGCTGCAAAGCAGGTATTACTTGTTTATTTATGTAATACAAGTCATTTATTCTTAGTGGGGAATCGAGTCGCAAAACTTCCAACGGATCCACAACCATGTCAACCAGGCGGGCTCCAGGCTCTCCATGGATTACAACATAAGGTACTCTCTCAGCATAACGTGGTTCAGCCCTAGGGTCAAACCTCATTGCCTTGGTGGCGACAATTGCAGCTGGAGGTAAAGACGATGATGTCCTTGCGCTATAGCTACCTAGGCGAACCTCCTTAGCAAAGACAAAATCTTTAAGCGGGACTTTGCCTGAAAGAATTCTCCTCCACTGACGTTGTAAATAACTTTTCACCTGCATTCAGAGGAAAACAAGGTGAAAAACAGAAATCCAGGTAAAACTAATATTGTCACTTTATCAGAATAATCACTAGAAATCCTATTGTTTAAGTATTTATTCTCACCTCAAAAAAAAAAAAAAAAAACTTTGGAAGTTTAAACAAGAAAGGGGGATGGGAAATTGGAAGGTATAGGCATTAGAAATTTTTGCTGAGATCATCTCCATCAAGAAAACCTAGCAACCTCTCTCTAGTGTGATTAAAATAACGAAATGATAGTTTCTGCCAAAAGTATGGTAAAATAAAATACGATAACAAAATTGTTCACCATGTTCCATTGAAATTTGAAATTAAAACATTGCAATAAAAAATTAGAAAGAATTTCTACCTCCGATGAATCTTGATTTTCGAAGAAAAGCCTCAAAGACTGTTCCATTATCTTTGCAACTGCACCACATGTGTCTCTACGAACTGTCTCAATACCTTTAGCATCAAAAACTGGCTCAACTTGATCAGGGCTTTCATAACTGTAACCAACATACCGCTTTTTAGTAAGGAGGAAACAAGGCTGATAAACTTTCTCCAACTTCAGGGTGACAGGACTAGGATTCATAGCAGTGACAGCAGAAGCAATCTCACTCCCAATTTGGAAACATTCTTTAATATTGCGTCCTTTGAGGAGAACAAACATGCTGCATGAGAACAGCCACTATACAAGATTATTTATTGAGAAAGTAAGGACAATCATGAAAGAGATAACAGTGAGGTCCGGATTTAATATCACTGAAAAGAATAAATACTGATACGAAGGATTGAAGGCAGAGGGAAAAGAGTACCGCTGTTCTATTATTAATCCTGGAATAAAACCATGCACATGATGGTATCCATAAGAAAACCCAAACTAATCCTAGTATCATAAAACTAAAGCCAACATCTCAGATTCATTCTTCCAAAATAAACAGGACATGATAAGATATTAATATAGGATATAATATCCATATCTAATACTAGGATATACAAAATTAAAGGAAATATCATGCTCTCAACATGATAATGTGCCATGATTTGGACCTTTTCCTAATCGATCTCTGCATTATGAAGTCACCAAAGCAGATCTAAGGTAGGCTATTTGGTATTTTCAGGAGCGACAGGTGCATCCAGAAAATCTGCAGACTTTTTAGACCAGTAACCTCATCAATCAGATTTTTACAAAGCAAATTGAGCAATCAGAACTGTCTGAATTGATTTGGATGGTCAGGCTTCAAGTTCTCTTTCATGTTGGCAATTTTCTTTTTCTGCTTTAAAGAAAATCAAACACGGCAAAAATACTTTTTTAATTGCCACTTCAAAAAATAATGATTAAATGAGGGGGAAAAAACTCTAGACCATTCAAATCATATCTAAACTTTTCACTAGCTTTGATTGGAAGGAAAGGAATATAAAGCCCCCTGGCAGTTTGCTATCTTGGCGTCATAGAAGTGTTATTGGTGACAGATGAATGTGAGGGTCAACGGAAAAAAAAAATCTCTGCATTCTCATCTGCTCTGGACAGAGTTACCTTCTTAGCCTGAGTTTCAGCAAATGAACCTTTTTTCCCAGAGTAGGTGGTTCCCTTGTGGATTTTGATTTTAACAAAGGGATTGGAAGGCACTTCAGAGCTAGAGTCCCCTTTTATTTCTTCTTAATTGTTTATTTTGGAGGACTTCTTGTCCTCATTTCTTTGTTTACTGTTATCTTCAACAAAATTATTATTTTTATGAAAAGTTTGTGTCTCTATAAGAAATTTTCACAGTACTGCACACAAAGCACGAGTTAGAAATACCGCAATAATACCTATCAGTATCTCCATAAATGACTTTTGCATTCCACTTATCGTGTTGATTTACAAATGATATGGCCCTTTCCAATGTGCAACGGCCGCATTGAACTATACTGTCTGCAAGCTCTGCGCAAGGCATACGACCACTAAATCCAGCAGCAGTGTAGCCATAAGTCACATTTGATATAAGCTTCAAAGCAAGCTGTCTTGCATTAAATATCTGAAACAAAGATTGCAGTACTCGCAAATCACATTGCAATGATACACATACAAGAAAACTTACGAACTGTTAGGAACCAGTTAAGCTCCCTAACTACTGCTTGCTATAATAAAAACAAAAGCCCAACACAAAATGCAGAATACAAAATGCCTGACCCATGAACATAGAGTTTAGGGGCAAGGCAGGTTTCATCTAAGCAAAGTGCCTGGCCCAGAAACACCTTGGATTGCAAAAATCAACCTATCGCTATGCCCAGACAGGGATGACTAGATGCCCACCTGAAATGACTGGGCCACCAGCCCATCCCTAGTAGATACTGAAAATTTATATCTATATGGCATTTACCATAATGGAATAGAAGTTTAAGAGGTTAGAGGAACAAATTAAAATCAAATCCACATCCATACCCGCTGAAGGACTTGCTGTGAAGGAGCCAAAATTTTCATTGCTTGTTTCACCATTATCCTAGTTGATAGAATTTCTTCCAACAAGCGTGGTAGTATACCTCGACGAACCTGTACGAAACAGTTATACCATAGGATTGCCGTTGGAAGTTTAAAGGACAATTGAACAGAGAATTGACAAAGAAATGATTGCATGACTTGAGGATGACGGTCAACTGAATAGAAACTAGCCTGATATTTACAGGGAAAAAAGGCACAGTTCGGTTTAACCTAGGTATTCTTTGACGTCAAAGTACATGACAAAATATAATTCAGATGGCAGCAGCCATGCAAGACTACTTGATAGCCAGTAGAGTATAAAAGATTTGACAAAATCACCTTGGAAGGAACAAACATAACACCATTTGGAGTAAGCAAGATCTGATCTTTTAAATCCTGCAGAACATGCTGCCTGGGTGAAAATGAACTAACCCCAAGCGTGTTTGCTTTTGATGGCACAACTTTGCCAAGGCACGTACAAAAGCAAAGATTGTACGCAATTATCATGGATGGATATAATGATTGAAAGTCAAATACAACAACCGGGTCTGAATAAAATCCTGAGTCTGGTTCCATCACAAGGGGCAGGCACTCCATGGCAGGTTGAGAAGCAACCTTAAATGAGACAATGATGAGTCAAGTGAAGGAAGAATTATTATGTGCATAAAAAAAAAATTCTCACATAAACTTCATTAAGGACCAATCATTTCATTGTGCGGTGCTGTTTTGTTATTCTGAGGGTTTCTTATAACACAAATACAATGTCACATGGCAAGATGAAAACTGCAACAGCTGAATTCGCAAAACACGTCAGGGATGGGTAAGAACTGGACCAGCATATGACAGAAGTTAACTTTTTCAGTGATAGACTACCATGTGAAACACATACTAACGGAAGAAGAGGGGAGTGTGGAGAGAGGTCTGACTTAGCCATTCAAAGGGGCCCGTTGATTGCGTTTCCCACTTTACTTTTAATTCAAGATTGTGTGGGGTGGCGTATTAAGGGCCTTATAAGCCACTGCAGCTTCAGTTTTGATAAGTCATTGTCAGTATCGTGTCTTAGGCTTAGGAATGTGTCAGTTATGCTTTACAGTTAGTTCCTATTCCTCTTTGCATTATAAACAGGTGTATGACGTACTGCAAGAGTCACCTCATGATCGAATTCTTATTATAATTTGGAGACCTCCTTGGCTTTATTAGCATGTGAACTTCAGATTTTTTATCACATTCTAACAAAGATTTAGCCTTACTCGCTCACCACATCCTGCTCTTATCATTCAGTTACGAGAAAAGAGCTCCAAACTTCTTAAAACAAAATACGCAGGATAATATGGTCTATGATGGGAACATACTGACATGTCACATCAAAGCATCAATATGAATCCACAAATAGAGAAGTTGTGAAGGGAAAATAGTGCGCAAACCTGTTGATTTCCAGGAGAGATGGCAAGATAGTTATGCGTATGTGCCAACCTCAGAAACATTGATTCAACACGATATTGTGAACCTCTGGAGAGAACAGAAAAAAAATCTATACCAAAAATACGAGCAAGTTCTGATGTTCGATTTACCTATGAAAACAAAATAAATCAGCATAACCCACCAGGAAATAAAGATGATTAAGAATCACAAACATCGAAATCAAAAGCATAAAAAAGAACAAAAATAAAAATGATCAAAAATGAATTTGCAACTTATTTCAGACCAATAAGTTAGTTTTGATGAAGCTAATAAGGAATCAAATGAGACATAAACTAGATTGTATGACTAGCGAGAAAAATGTGCTATTATAAAGTGTAAACGCATTTGACATTCCCATGCAGCAAGACAGACAATATGAAGGACTCCCGTAAAAGAGTATGATAGAGCTGCTGGCTTTACTCAGACCTATAAAGGAAACTCAGGGGATTAAAGAGAAATAATGTTGTAGAGTGGCTCTAGACTCATGCTAGACACACGATGCTTCTCACTTTTTATTGCTACTAATAGTATCTAGTTTTTGTGAGCACTGAAAACTATGTTTTGAGAGTCGGATAGAAGTGAGGGGAGTGCTGATCTTTCAAACACCACCAGTGAGGGACCTTGTCTTGCTTTGTTTTGTTCAGTTCATTGTGTTTTCCGTTTTGTATTAGGAAATAGGGTTTTGGCCAGAATTAGTGAAGTTCCTTTGTAACACAGATTCGGTTCTAAAGCATTTAATAGCAAAACCTCAGTATTTCCCTCAATTGCTGTCCTCTCACATTTATTTTCTACTGTTGCTTTTATATTTAGAGCAGAGCTCTATCAGAGTACCACGACAAAAGACTATCAAAACTATGAGCACTGAAGACTCATAAAAGAAATTCAGGCTAGAGTCATATGCTATCAATACCATATCAAGTTGGCTTAATATCTCAAGATTCAGCTTTGCTCTCTTAGTAACATATTTGACACACTGATATCTTGCTCGTCCAGGACCACCAGAAAACCATTTGGTCAGAACCTTGTTGTGAATTGAAGGAACTTTCCTCCTCAATACAGCTTCAGCCACAGCATCAACTGAGTATAAATTGAGCTTAACTTCTCCACGGATAAGTCGCCACACATTAAGCACGATTCTGCCACCAACATGAACTCCACTGGCATGTGTTCGTCCCCATTCATCTTCAATTATTGAACTTTCTTGTACATCATCTGCACTAGATGTACCCGGAATGGCAGTTTCTGACATATCTTTTTCAGACGTTTCAGTACCATCAGAAGTAGTCCGAGAGTCAGATGGAGTGCGAGATAAACTATTAAGTAATCCTAAACCAAGATGCGAAGCCCTTTCTGCTAAAAAACCAAGAGAACCGCCTTGAATATCCCAACCCATCAGAATATCTGGATCATATGAAGACACAATCTTAATAAATTTTTTTAGCAAGTACTTTTCATCTGTGAAGACCCAACACCTTGCAGCCTGATAGGCCCCCAAAATTTCTGCAAACATTTAAGAATAAGCATAGGTACCAATTTCACAAACACTTGCTAAGTTGGAACTTGGAAGAGATACATAATTTCTAATTGAGGCAATGCGAAGTCATTCCACTTTCCCATACCTCTGACAAGGTTCTAGTTTACAATGCAAAAGGACAATAATATCTACAATAGTGTCATTATCATTTGAAAAAAGAGCTACAACGTTGATGGCATCAAACCGGGGATCAGGTAAAAGTTCTCCTCTTGATTCTGCAAGAAACCTGCCAGTATGCAAGCAGGTAGACCTATGTGTAACAAAGTTGACCGAGGTTCATTGAACAACTGACCAAACAGAAAACATAGTTCCAAA